GGTGGAAGGTGACCATATTGAAAATATATTTTGATAGTTTTTTCTTTTAAAATATTTTTTTAACTTACTTTAACTTATTCGTTTTTTTTCTATTTTGTGTTGTGTAAAGCGTGTTTGTCAAATTTTGTTAGTGAAAATTACATTAGCCGACAGTAAGATATTCTAGGCTCTTATTTTAAAAATATGTACGGTTCTAACGTAGTAATTGTGTCCAATTATAAATCAAAAACAAAAAATGGTGGAGGCGCCGCTCGATGTGCACTGCGACTTAAAATCACAAATATTTCCTAAAGTGTTAATTTTACCGAGTTGAACCAAGAGGATACTATAGTTGGCAAATTCTTTAGGGAACTTATTTTTTATGCAGGCAGATTGCAATCGTCATCTATGAAAATATTCTGGGTTGTTAACCATTGGGCATAGTCCGTCCCTGGCGTTCTAGGCATAATCAAGTTTCACTTGCAACATCAAAAACAAGCCGTCCGCATGTGTTAGCGATCACCAAATTTGCATCATACTGAAGTTAATAGTTTAGAGACTGTAAATAAAAATATTTTTTTAATTTTCACCTTTGAGGGCCCGTAACTTGTTAACGAAGGCCCGTATGAATGAAATTTATATGAAGAACAAATATTATTTTGGCCTTTTGTACTCGACTTTTTTGTATCAAGTACCGGGACACCCTGTATACAGCTGCCAAGCCCGGCTTTTGGTGGGAGGCTATAGTCCCAGGCCTTGGCAAGATTTGGTGATTCCAAAAAGTGTTTAGGTTTTGAAATTTTATACCGACCTTATACCGAAGTCGCGGATTGCATGGCTTTTATTTAAATCGAACCAAATCGTGTTTAGGTTTTGTAATTGTATCTTTTTTTTAGAAAAAGGCTTTCGTAGAGCTTGTATGGGGTACGTTAATGTAGCCCTGATAGCTGTCACCAGGTCACGTCACTAGTGAAAATGTTACTAATTTCAGTTGGACGTCAGAAATAAAGAATGTAGCTACGAGAGTCGTCACGACATGGGCTCATTTAGTTTTTTTTTAATGCATATTGACAAGGATACAACAATTAATAAAAGTAAAGTTTAGGGAAATGCACATGGCTGGGTCCAACACACATTAAATGATATCTCGAAGCAGACAAAAACAAATAAACGAAATATTTTACGAATTGAAAAATTATTTATCAAGGCTAATATTAAAGGTATCAGCCTAATTTTTTCACCACATATTTAAGGAGTGAAGTAGTTGCGGAAACGTAAAGTTTATAAATTAATCGTTTCTGAATGAACCCATTGCGCGATCTTTCTGTTATGTACAGCTTTAAAAAGCGATTGCAAATTTACTAGCTACATAATTGTCGCCCAGAGCTTAAAAGAAAGGTAGCACTTTTTCCAGTAAAACTATAACAATTTGGAATGGAATAACAGAATATATTATGCAACAAATTAATTAAGTGGTTTGAATTCGTTCAAACAATTGAACAAATCAAATTGCCAATGCACAAATAAAAGAGTATTACACAAAAAATAATGAACTAGAACAGACCAGAGTTTCTAATGAGCTCAAAATAGATAAACTACCGCAAAAAAATCGATTCGCCATCGGCTTTATTCCTCCACGAGAGTTCCGCTCTGATTTAAAACAATCGCGAGTCCATCCTGAACCTGATTGAGCCTCACATTAACTGAATGACCTCACATGACTGAATGACTGATGATTCGCCTGAAACGGCCCTCCAGTCGAAGACAAAATTTGCAAATTCTTCAAAATTTTAGTTCTCAAATTTATATTCCTTTCTGATTAAACTTGCTTTCTTCGAAACGGACAATAATACAGGGTGGCTCAATTTCACTTAACAACTATACTTCGATAGTTTGGCCGGCTAACATTGTTAATTAGAGGCTTTAATAAATTATGAAACCTGCAGAAATAGTGAAACATTTCTATAAAATTACATAAATAAGGATATTAAAGATTTTCATTTTATAAATACAGAAAATTTTATTCGTGAGTACAAAGAAAACATGTTATTTTGTTAAGAGGTCATATGGTTGTGTCAGTATATAATATTAGGATCTAATATGATACGGTGTACGTACACGTAGTGACGTCACTAACGAGACTCGCAACGTAATCAAGGCATGATAACGTAATTGGTATGGAAATAACATGACAACTTTCTATCATTTTTTTCTAAAATAGCCACATATCCAGTTATTGCAGCTTCATATAATTCATTTTATTGTGTGAAACGCTTCCTCAAACATCAAACAAATATTTAAGGTTATGTTCATGTTTAAATTCTGTATACCTAAACTCACTTCTTAAACAAGGTTCATTCCACATGTTAATATGAAAATTAAACGTTTTACATCTTACATATCACAATCAATTAAAAATTATCGTCAACTAGTATTCGTGTCAAAACGAAAGTCTGCTTCTCGTTACTGACGTCATGCGCCGCTAGGACGAATCTGAGCCGATTGGTGAGAACGCCATACTATATTCACACCAGGGTATACCACACCACCTTTACCTTTATCAGTAACAACTTATAATTTAGATAAACACAATATCCAAAGGTCTGCACATTTTCATAGAAGAAATATTACACGTAAATTTTAATCTGTGTTGCTTTTTATGCCAAAGGGTCTTGATGGGAAATAAATCTGGACTAAAACTCTGTTACTATATTTATTATATATATATATATATTTATTTATTAGTAAATTTCTGCAAGCTTGTTTGAATATTTTGTCATATGACAGGCGTGCTGTTCTGCTGGAAGATGAAGTCACCTTTGACCATATTTCTTAGATTTCCATCAACAAAACATGCTTTACCAGCACCCCTTCCTGACATACAACCCTCAGACCATAACCAACTATACTTTTTCAGTACAATGTCTTTGTGATAGTTCTTTGGAGGTATACGCAAAACTCGCCAGTAGCATGGCCAGCTAGAAGTCCTGACTGTAACCCGCTTAATTTTCTTCTGTGGGCCCCTTAAGGACCTTGTTCATATGGCTCCAATTAAGACAATAGAAGTCTCGATAGAACTATTACGGGAACATATTGAATAGAGTTTTCAGAGTATTGGAAATACCTCGAGAAGACCAGAACCAGTATGGCTAGCTGTGTAAAGACGTTGCAAAGCCTTGAATTAGTCATAAAAATCACCCAGTGTACATTTGTCGATCGGCAGAACACCGCAGCAGAAATTTAGCTACGGCCCCTGTTAGGATGTATCCACCGAATGACTTTTATGAAGTTTATCTGAATTATACTGCTGCCACCAGGTCAGGTAAAAAATGAAAAGTTGTCTCCATTCTGCCTGACCTCAGAAATTAAGAGTGATTTTTTGCATTGTATCGTGACCGACAATGAAAAACAGATAAGCCCGGCCATGTGTCAACATTCCGCAAAGTCGAATATCCGCGGCTCCAAGCCTACATTTGATGGTATCAGCTGGATGTAGCTTATTACAAACTGCTCAAATCGAATGAAACCACTACGGGAGATCGCTATCGACTACAATTAATGCGAGCACTGAAGGAAAAACGGCCGCTTAAGAGCACAAACATTACAAACTGATTTTGCAGCATGATAACGCTCGGCCACATGTTGCAAAACCGATGAAAAGCTACTCAGAAACGTTGAAATGGCAAGTCCTTCTCTGCCCGCCATATTCATCAGACACTGCCCCTTCCCATTCTTATGAAGATGCCAAAAAATGGGTCAACTCTTGGAGAGTCTCAAAAGACGTGTCATTATTCCGACATGGAATTAAAATGCTGCCAAAATGATGGGAAAAAATAATGGCTAGCAATGAAGAATGACATGTTTTTTACAATTATTTTTTAAATAAAGCATTCATTAATTTTTACGAAAAAACAGCGAGAACTTATTCAATTCCCCGATATATAAAAAAAAAAAGTAAAAGATCCAAGATCGAACCCTGTGGAACACCATATTTTCCACCATACTGAAATGTGTTGATCAAATATGAAAATATTAGAGATATTCCGTCATATCAAAAACCATAAATATATATTTTTTATTAAAATTTCATGTCACAATCAGACACGGTTGAAAGTTTTACTTAAGAGGGCTCTATAGCAAATAGGCAACCAGCGATAAATTTTTATAGATTTTATTACACACTTTGTCTAAATATGAATTAATGCACAAATAATAGACTTTCCCCCATTTTAACGCTATGAAATGGACTTAGTTTTAAACTCGAATTACTTTTTGGTGCAAAGAAATTTGTAATTTACAATGTTCAAAAACGGTAAATTACAAATTTCTTTACAACAAAAAATAATTTGAGTATCAAAATAACTCCATTTTATAGAAAATCTGCGTTAGAATGGAGGAAAGTCCGTTATTAGTGCATTAATTGATATTCAGACAAACTGTGTAATAAAATCTACAAAAATGTATTGCTGCTTGCCTATTTGCTATAAAGCCGACTTAACTCTAAGAACTGAGTACTTACCTTTACAAATTTCTTGAAACATTTATCTGTAAAAGATAAGAAACAGTCTATTGCCAATCCAGTTATAAATTATTGCGAAATCCATATTGCTGAGAGTTAAAGAGTTCATATGTTTCCATATTGATGTAATTTGAACGTTAAGAATACTTTCAAACACTTTATCCTTAAGCGATCCATAGGCGGGGAAAATATTTTCAAAAGGGATCACCCATCGCTTCGAACGTTATTAATTCAGAAATGAGTTGTTTGAAGTATTTTCTTTTGCTTCCCGCACCCTTATAGCTTACACCAAATTTGAATCAGATTTCACGTTGGTTCTCAGATATTATTGAAAAACTATTTCAAAAGAAAGACTTAACACCCTGTAACTTATAAACAAATAATTTTTGAACTTACTTAAATCGAGTTAGTTCAATTGTTTTTACACGAGAATGTATTTTCGGGATCACCCTGTATATTGTTTTACCTCAGAAATTTTACTGCGGTGATATGTAAAAACTAGTTCACTTTCCAGCTTTATTATTATCATTAATTCATTAAATGTGTGACACTATGATTACTTATTACACTTAAACAATTACAGCAGGGCCTTGATAATCCGTACCCCAGCTAGTCCGAACGTCTCTATAATCCGAACGACCCCCCTTACCTCTGCGCAACCGCCATTTCTCACAGTTTCTGTCTCGCCAGTGCCACGCAGTGCGTTTTAGATAATACACTTATCGCTTTTTCGTCCGCCTGCGCGCCGTTCCGCCATTTTATTGTGTTGGCGTCTCAAATTTGCATCATGGCCTCAACATCGAAGAAAAGAAAACATGTGACGCTAACAATTGAACAAAAGTGCGAGATTTTGGACAAGATTAAGGAATTTCTTTAAAAAAAGTGTGATTAATAGCATTGTATCTAACATACATCTAACGTACATACTTAAATAAATACATTATAATGTAAAATATTTTTGTTTTATTTTGAAAAATCCCTTTCAAAATGTCTACATACTATAATCCGAACGCTTCGTGAATCCGAACAGGGTATAAATTTTCGGTGTTCGGATTATCGAGGCCCTGCTGTAATATGTACCTAATAATCCTAAAAATACTTATATTTCTGCTATAATTATTTATTAATAATATTCGAAATTGGAAAACAAGAACAGCCTAATAGACGCAAGAAGTGACCGACTACGTTATAGAATTTAAATTATTTACTTTGACTTTCCACTTGCTTGTTAGGCTGATCCTTTAAAACGCCTTCTAAATCGGAAACCGCAGCAGAAACCTGAAACAGTCTTCCAAAAACATCGGCCAAATCACATTCTTGATTCGTTATCACAAAATATTCTGGAATAAATGTTTTAAATTTGGCGCATTTATTTAAGTTACAACAATATTTACCTGGTTTGTCATGGATCAATTTCTTACAATAAATATTTAAAATGGAAATCACATCGTTACTTTTGTCAAACAATTCTTCGTGTTCCTTCGAGAAATCATCTCTATTGCATTTAAAGTATAAAATCACCGACGTCCATTTTTCATTTTCGATTAACCTCGACAAATTTGATAATACGCTCTCCGTGTTAGTGAAAGTACCCGCTGACGAAGAAATTCCTCCGTCAGCGTCGGTGTCTTCATAGGCCCTTGTTAGTGCATTTTTTATAATCAGAATATCCCCAGTAATGTCTTTAAACTAAAAAATAAACGCAGATTCAAACATAATTAGGTTTTCCAGACAATAAAATAAAAAAATTTGTCATCCACTTCATAGTACTTACATCTGCCGTCTTTAAACTGTTATGAAGGATTCCAACCATTTTATTTCCGGCTTCGACTAACAGTAAAAGTTGAAAGTACAACTTATACAATGCTTTTCCCAGATCTAATAGGAAGTTTTCATGATTAAAATCTGATTGCTGGCCACTTAAACGTTCCAATTTTAGGGTAGTCTTTACTGCATCACAGTACTACAAACAAAGTTTACAAATTTACAGGATCTCCAAAAACTGCCATACTTTAAGAGGGCTCTATAGCTAATAGCCAACCAGCAGTACATTTTTATAGATTTTATTACACAGTTTGTCTAAATATGAATTAATGCACAAAAAACAGACTTTCCCCCATTTTAACAAAGATTTTCTATAAAATGGAGTTAGTTTAAAATTCAAATTACATTTTGGTGCAAAGAAATGTGTAATTTACGATGTTCCAAAATGGCAAATTACAAATGTCTTTACAACGAACAGTAATTTGAGTTTCAAAATAACTCCATTTTATAGAAAATCTTTGTTAAAATGGGGGAAAGTCTGTTATTTCATATTTAGACAAACTGTCTAATAAAATCTATAAAAAAAATTGTTCATACTTTATTTTTACAACTACATCAAAATACCACGTAGAAACAATTGAGGAGTGCTATGCGCCTCTTGGCTCGCTACCTCACAGCAACGAAATGCCCCTATTAAGGGCAAAATCATGAAGGTGAGAGAGAGTGGTAGCTTTTAATACAAGCTGTCCATTAATATTGTGAAAAAATTCAGGGGGAGTTTCCTTGACCAAAAATAACAAAGAAAGTTCCTATGTCCAAAAATGCTTCGTTTCGGAGATACAGGGTGTTGAAATTTAGAATTTTTTCGCAATATTAATGGGACATGCTGTATATCAGAATTTTTACAGACAGCAGATTACCGTGTAAACGGCGTAACATTATAGTATGGCAGTTTTGTTTCTAAACACAAGTGTATTATAAGACGTCAATTAAACATACAGCTCAATAGTTTCAATAATTCGGTCTAGAATTCTAAGTAGGTACTTACCATAGTTGCTTGTTCTTTTTTATCGCAAAACGTTTCCAAGTGTTCTTGTACCTCCAACATCCCATATTTTAACGTCTCAAAGAATTTAGAATTGCTAAACGCCAACGTATTGAACCATATCAAATTTATTGGCAACACACGATAGTTAATAATGTCGATCATAGACAGTAATCTCGAACTTATTAGTTTTATCGTTGGTAAACCACTCACTGCTGACTGGGACATGTAAGTACAAGACTCTCTCGTTATTTCAATAGCAGACACACATATATCCTAAAAAAATATTTTTTACATGTCGTAGGCTGAAAAAATACGTTTTCAACATACCACCACCAATTTTTGAAACTGATGGAAAAATTGTAAGGTATTGGCTGGGGTCTGAGGCATATTTGTTTGGATGTAAGTCGACCAATTTTCTAAAACGTCGCTTTTGGATATCGCCCTGATACTCGCAAGGCCAGATAAATTGGGTGATGCGTTACAAGGAGTCACTTCACCTAAATCTCCAACACTAGATCCACTGTGAACAATAAAAATCCCATACAAATTGCCCATTTCAATTGATTATGTGTAACTATTTTTTTTAAGCAGTGTATGTATTTAATTTGTGAATCACAATGACAATGAACTGTGACGTTGACCTAGTTTAGCTGAACTGTAAAAGTAGATAGGGACGCTTTTAAGAAAGTTGAAACAGGTAATATTAAAAAGTTTAAATTTTAAACAAAATATGGTACATTTCTACTTTTTTTCTTATTCGTATTCTTGAGCAGCTAATTGGTGCTAGTCATTATTAAATTAATAAAATATAAACCAAACAGCACCAAAATGAAACCAAATAAAGTTTAAAGTGTTGCAAGTGAAGAAATTGGCGCCCAACGTGGAGCGTTTTCAGTGTAATATAAGAGTGTTCTTTGGTGTTTTAAGAGTTAGTAGGAGTACACCCTACATAAAAATGTGGCAAGGATGGAAACTTGAATGGGATTAAGGAGAAAATGATGGTATTTGGGAATAAATTCAACATATAACGAAATTAATTAAAATTTCGTTACAATTTTAAGCAGAATTCGATCGTGTTCCAAACACCTACTAAGGACAATGCAGGTTAACCTCCTCTGTTCAGTTAAAATTCTGTATTACTGCCTCTGCAAACCGCCTACTGCCAGTTGACTTCACACTTGGTATAATATGACGGGATGGTAAAAAACAAACTACCATGTTAATTCGGCAAAATGAGAATGGCCAAATACTACATTTTGTTACAATCTTTATTTTAGTTTTGTTTAGCAGTTTACGAAAAGGTGTTTGCAAATACTAAGAAATAGCGCGACAAAAAAGTTTTTGCAAAATTTCCTTTTTTTTCTGAATCCACGGATTTGGAAAAAATTTTTTTTGCTAAGTCATTGTATGGACCAGATAGCTGGTTTATTCAGCTTCAATTTCCTTTTTTTTTAATTTTGATATGACCATTTTTCATCGATATATCGGACTTTTAATGGAAAAGGATCCTTTTGTCTTCAATCATCGATATCTCGGGGACAAATGGTCGTACAGAGAATTGAAGGGCAGTTTTGAAAAATGGAATAAATTTCCCATAACATGCTGCCACAACTTTTCGGGAAAAAAATGTTTTCTCATCTTTTACAAGAATTTTAAAAAACAGGAAAAAAGGGTAATTTATGGTTATGGTATAGTATGGTATAAATATTCACGAAATGACTAATGTTATTCATGACTTTTACAGTTCGATATACCCAGAAGAACCCTGTGAAGTTTCATCTCGATCTAGCGAACTGTTTCTTTGTTTCAAACAGTCAAACTTTTGAAAAAAATTAAAGGATCACGTTTTTTAATTCATGATTAAAATGGAAAAAATAATTTTTTTCAGGTTTTCTTCCCATTTTTACTGCAAATAACATTTAAATTGATGAAAAAAAAACATTTTAAAATTTTGAAAGTTTTGAAAAAAACTTTTTTAAGTGATTACAGACTGCACAAAAATTAATTAGAAATTGGTCTTGAAAGACGGTATGATAAATACAGTGTGTCAAAAATCACGGAAAAATTTCGGAAATTCTTTTGACCCTTCAATTTTTTGCATTAGTGTAGTTGCGTAAATATTTCTATTTTTTATAAAATCTGAATGAAAATCCTTCTCGTGAACATCATTTTTTCGATAATATTGTAAAAGCAACAAAAAATTTCTATATTCATTTAGTCGTTTGACCTTGAAAATTTTAAAAAAAATTTGCCTGCGGCGCTTTTTTTCCCACTTAGTAAAACAGCCACGGGTCTCGCCTATTTATAATGTTACGAGCCGTCACTGCAGTACAGTGTATTTTTGAGTTTTCATTTTCAAGTCTTTATAAGATATGGAAAAGCATGTATACTAATCAAGAAAGAGTTGATATGGTTAGAGCCTATTCAGGAGAAAAGACAATATTAGGTGGATTATCTCGACTGACAAGTACCAAATAAAATAAGATGTTTGTATTTAAAAGACTATGGGAGCTTTGATCTTGGACTAGAAATTTTTAATGCCGTGGAAAAGGACTCTGGTACCAGTACTAGAAGATTAGCCACAAGATTTCAAGTATGTGATATGCTGTAAAAATCAAGAGAGTAAACTTTTTCTGCATGAAATGATCGAAAATAAAAGATAAAATGATTCAAAATCAAAAATTTAAACAAATTTTGTAAAATTTTAACAAAATAAAAACCACACAAATTCACACCATTTTTAGTAATAAACAAAGTAAAATAACAAATAATAAAGTAAAAAGTAAATAAATAATTAAATAAAAGTAAAATAATAATAAACTAAGTAAAATAAAGAAATTACCTGGTATCTGATCGAGCGCTTGAATTAACCTGAGAATTATTTTCTCTCAGTGCCAAGGAGGAAGGTGGAAAAATTGCACTGCTCTCTATTGTACTGTTGTCAAACTCGGGTGCAATAGCAATCTCATCCAGAGGGGATTCCGATCCAATTTCGTCGTCCGATGACTCTTCCGTCAGCAACCGCTAAGAATCAAATATCATGAGAAGTATTTAAATATTTTTTTTGTTTGCATGCATATATAAAAGACAGAGGACGACACTCACATTATGATTAAAAGGACAGATGTGTACCTTTCTTACTGTCAATACGGGAGTCTTTTCGCTAAGACTATCTTCGAGCTGTTTCATATTAGTCTGATCGTCTTCACCTTGACTCAAAGGCCTTCTACGTACACCCCAATTAAAGTTATCGGTGCTCTCACCCTTAAGAATTACAAATGTTAGACGCAAGTGCGGTACAACTGAAAGGAAATAGAATAACCTACTTCTATGCTTTCACTTTCATATTCCAAGAAATCGAAATCTTTGAAAACACCAAATTCAGTCGCCGCGTCGTCCCTTCGCGAACCACCGCTCATATCGTTATTACCGGCGGACACCTCTTCGGTGCTAGAGGCCATACTAGACTGCCTCTCGATTAAGTCAGACGTCTGACTGAATATAACCTAAAATATCAACATTTGAGGTAAGAAGCGTTGGTATACTTATGTAAGTTAGTACTACCGATGGACTCTTGGGTAATCCAACTCTCTGTCCGCAAGTCGTTAACAGGTTCACAAGGCATTCTCGTACCCGGCCCTAGAAAGATTATGCTACACTGTTCACTGTTTACAATAAGGTAAATAATAACAAAATACGTATTTAAAAAAAAAAACATTAATATGGTGTACCTGACACATCCACGGTCTTTTCCAACCAGACTGTGGAGACGCATCGGCGGGACTTATCGAGCAAGACCGCCTAGGAGTCGCAGAGGTTTTGGATGTGGTCAGTTCTTCAGTTTTATTCAAGAAGCGTCTACCAATTACGGGAGTCTGCGACATATCAAAAGTAAATTCCATAGTTCTCCCTGTAACAAAGTATATTTGTGGATGTTTTATAAGTCCACGTCGCTACTAAGATCGTTAAATTAACTCCTACTACTATTAACCAGTCTCCTACTTTCTTCATCATACAATATCGAGGACTTCATAACAAAGGGGCGTATGAACCAATTTACAATCTATAACAGGCGTATGTTCATACGCCTCTATGTGATGTTCAGGAGATGTAAGATAGTTCATACACCTAACATAATAACACCAATAAAATTTTAATTACTGTAAATACCGATACGCCTGACTAAAGAACTATGCTCCACCCTTTTTGTGGCTCATATACCCGAAAATTCAATTTTTGTGATTTAGGTTCATACGCCCCTCTGTTATGAAGCCCTCGATATTATGAAAAACATGGTTCAATAAATGTGCAATTTTAAGAAATCTACACAAGAAAAAGAAATTAAGTACGTTTATATAAAAATGTCGAGATTAAAATGCAAATTTACTTTCTCCCTAACAGTTATTATAAAATTTGCATTACATAGATGATATTGCTTAATTTGATTTGTGTAAAATAATCAATTTTGAAGAAAAAAAAAATTAAATAATAGTTATTTACACCATAAAGGATGTAAGTATTATTTACCCGTCGAGGGCGATTTTGAGCCAATAAAATCAGAGACTGGTAAATTATACTTAACTGCTGCGTGGTCTATAACATTTGATCTGCTCCGACAGTCCTTTATGGTTCATGAAATAAAGATTAGGTTTTATTTTTTGGCATTTCTTAATCAATTGATTTTGACATTATTCGAAATCTTGCAAAGTCGCCTTGGTTTTTTTGTCGTGTCTAAGGTGTTTATAAACAAAGTTACATAAAAGTTGTGATTTTGCTGGTTTTGAATTATTATTTCTGAATGAGTGATTTTCAAATAGAAAGTGCAGCAAATGCTGCCTGCAAATTTTTATTGCCCGAGAAGTTGAAACTGCCCTACGGACAAGCATATAGAAACTTCAAAGAATGGTGCTAGAACAAAAATACTGGTGTTTCTGAAATGTCACTGCTAGCATATTTCATGGAGAAGTCAAGAACTTTAAAGTCACCGGCGAGATTGTGGAGTGAATACTCAATAATTAAGTCAACTATTTTCATAGAGTTTTAGGTTTACTAATCATGAATTTCAATTCAAAATTGCAAAATTCAACATGGCGCATCCAATATGGCGGACGAGATTTTCGAAAAATCAACAGATTAATCCTGAATTGGATCCTGAGGAGTTTTGGGGGTTGCTGATCACTAATACCAACTCAGAATTGTAAATTCATCATGGCGGATCCAATATGGTTGATTTTGTGGATGAATGTATGCATCTTCAGATGGATGTTTTTTTTAAGACAGGAATAGATGGACCTTTGAATGTATGGATCTTTGGATGTTACTGAGTATTTTAAAAATTGTATAAGTCCATTTAACTTATGTTACTATTTTTAAGAAAAAGTGTAAAAAGATATTTTCTACTTTATTTGAAAAATTAGTACTTTTTGAGTTTATTTTTAGTTATTTTTTCTTATTTAAAGCAAGCTTATCACACAGATCAAAATCAAAAACCTACAATAACACTGAAACTATACATTTCATAAAAAAATCAATCAAACAGCAATTATGGACTCTAGACAGGTGGTAACTTAGCCCGTACCTATGTAAGTCTATAGCAGGAGATAAATGATTTTATTTTATAGTTCAGAATATGTTAAATTCACAAATTTCATATTTGCACCAGATAAAAAGAGTACATTTTTAAACATATTTATAATTTTTCGAAAAAATAAACTTTTTCCTTCTTGCTTCAAAGTTTTCAATTTTTTAAATATAATATAATAACCAAAAGGGGGGAGCTTTTAAAAATATACAGGGTGATTCATTAACAATGGGAAAGTCGAAAGCTGAAGATACTACACGTGAAATGGTGACCATTGGCGCAAACATGCCTTATCCAAAAGTTGATAGTTTCGGAACTACAGGGTGTTAAAAGTAAAAATTTTAAATTGTTTTTTTGCGATTATTCTGAAAATATGTAGGTTAGGAACCTGAAAATTTGTGGAACTATATTTTTTTAGGCGATGAATAAGATGTGTGTTGTAATTTCATCATTACTCATAGAGGGCGCCACTTACGACCAATTTTACCGAAAATTTAGTTAATAACTTTTTACCCTGTATATTTAACATGAAACTTGATTCAAAACCTGAAAGAGCTATCATTTATCCATTAATTACGTACTCATGTTTCATTTCGGGATCTCGTTCCGTTTTCGAGAAAAATTGATTTAGCGAACACTATGTTTTGATAATATGAGAAATTAAAAGCGAAACAAACCAAGTGTTGCTTCGTGTTATTACAATTAACAATAAAACAAATAAAATACGTAATTATGATTTAAATTAATTGTTCGAGGAATCCACCGTTGACACTGATACACTTTACACGTTTTCTGAGAGATCCTCGAGTTTGAAACAACATATTGGGATTGCGTCTGACTTCGTTGGCAGCAATTTGTATTATTTGCCACAACTCTTCACACGAGCCAATAGATTCTTTGTAAACTATATCTTTCATTCGATACTAAATAGGAAAATCAAGAGGATTGAAGTCCGGACTTCTGGATGGCCAAGCAAAAATGCTTAAATGCCAATCCAGCGATTTAGAAAAACTGCATCTAAATATGCACGTAATGGCCAAGAAAAATGCGGTGGAGCTCCATGAACCACATGTCTTTTCTTAAATAAAGTGGAACTTCTTCAAGCCGTGAAAGCAATTTTACTTGGCCACCCAGAAGTACGGACTTCAATCCCCTTCGTTTTTCTATTTGGAAGAATCTATTGGTTCTTGTGAAGAGTTGTGGCAAAGAATACAAATCGCTGCCAACAAAGTCAAACGCAATCCCAATATGTTGTTTCAAACTCGAAGATCTCTCAAAAAATGTTGTGTAAAGTGTGTAAATGTCAACGGTGGATTCTTCGAACAATGACTTTAAATCATTACATTAGTTTTATTGTTAATCGTTGTAATAACACGAAGAAACACTTGGTTTGTTTCGCTTTTAATTTCTCGTATTATCAAAACATAATGTTCGTTAAATCGATTTTTCTCGAAAACGGATCGAGATATCGAAATGAAACAAGAATACATAATTAATGGAAAAATGATTGCTCTTTCAGGTTTTGAATCAAGTTTCATGTTAGACATACAGGGTAAAAAGTTATTAACTAAATTTTCAGTAAAATTGGTCGTAAGTGGCGTCCTCTATGAGCAATGCTGAAATTACAACACGCATCTTATTCGTCGCCTAAAAAAATATAGTTTCACAAATTTTCAAGATCCTAACCTACATATTTTCAGAATAATCGCAAAAAAACGATTTAAAATTTTAACTTTCAACACCCTGTATTTCTGAAACTATCAACTTTCGGATAAGGCATGTTTGCGCCAATTTCACGTGTAGTATCTTCAGCTTTCGATTTTCCCATTGTTAATGAATCACCCTGTATAAAAATAGTTACACTGTTTTTAAATTGTAATTAGAACAAAAATTCAATTCCCACACATTTTTTTTTCTTAATTAAAAAATTTCGAAAAATTCGAATTTCAAGTATCTCTCCAGTAGTTGATAGATTTGTAAAAAAAATTCAGTGAACTTTTGACGTTAATAAATTCACATTCATTCATTGTTTCAACATCTTCAAAAATATTATGAAAAAATGTGACATCGTTTCAATGCAGTCATCTTGTATCTTAAAAGCCATTGTTCAAAAGCCAAGTTCATTGAGGCTTTTAAATATATGCATTTCATTTATGATATGAATGATATTGCAGGTAACACACTACTCTGCGGGCTACATGTCCCGTCCAGCATTACACACACGATATCTAGTAAATAGCCAAATCCATTCGTCAGTAGAATCATCAGACATAGACTGGTTTTAAACTCACTAGTTCCCATTTGTATGCCATAGATGAGACAACCGATGAACGATTTAGCTATTTAAATATCTACCGATATATTTTGAGTGTGGGTGAGATGTAACCTACAAAGTACATAACCTAAGTGGCACTGCTTTTACAAGGCATTGAGCAGTAATGGCATTTAAGATATTACATGCTTTGAACGTTATCTCACACATATTTTGTTAATATTAATTACCTGGTAACTCCTTTTTGTTAAACACGCTCTCCTCAGAAAACGACGGATGTGGCATTGCTGTCAAAGTACTCTCCCAATGTGACTGTATAGAAATAGGAGGGGCAACCAGAGAACTTGATCGACTAACCACCAGTTTTAAAATTTTTAGGGCTTCCTTCCAGTTCACTCCTTCGATATATTTAACGATTACTTTGAGCAAATCTGCGTTAACCGGCTGAGCTGCCGCAGTTGCCAGATCCACATAGTGCAGGATACAATGTATAATATTTAATATGGGCAGTTGAAGATTGCTCGGTCCCTTTTCCAACACTTCAATCAAGAACGAAAGCATGTTCAAGCTTAAGTGTGAATATGTATCATGAAGGTATTTAACAACGCACTTTGTCCACTGGAAGCTTTCTTTACTGAAAGTCCTCCTGCTGTATAAATTCATGACAGTGCCCAAATTCTCCAGTTTTTTGCTCTTTTCTATGCTGACCTAAAATCAAGACGTTGGCAGAAAACGAATAAAGGATATTTTGAAGTAGTACCTGCGCGATATTTTCAGCAGCTCTAATGCAGAGTTCATTGGCGTCTTCGTAATTCAGTAACATGTAAGGAAGGAGAGCTATCACATTCATTGGAAAGGCTATGCTCTGAGACGGATCGACGACAACAAAGTTGAGGAGGGGTGTTAATTGTGATAGGAGTGCTACTACAGGTTCGTATATATTAGGATGTGTGCAACCCTAAAAAAAATATATATACAAACCTTATTTATTAATATGGGGTGTCCCAAAATTTATGCAAGAGTTCAATTTTGCGCCATTTCTGCAGTAAAGCGTTACCAACGAAAAAGACAGTGTGACAGCTGACAGTTCAGGGATATTAAAAATGGAGCGAATGCGTTTTCTTTGTTGAGCAATATTTTGAAAATAATAACAATTTGGCAGCTACAATTCGCAATTTTTGTACAAAATGAGGTTGGAATGTTGATTTAACTTCATCAATTGTGAAGAAATTAATTGAAAAATTCAGGGAGAATGGATCAATTAGTGAATTTACACACTATGGTCACCCTTCAACAAGTCGTTCAACACAAAACATCGAAGCAGTTCATGAGAGTGTTGCTGAGAGTCCAGAAACATTAATTCGAGTTTATTGAATGGATTATGGAACAAGTGAATGCCGATTTTTCGAACAAATTTTCAACGACGAGACTCATTTTTTTTTTAATAACTTCGTTAAGCAAGAAAATTGTCACATTTGAGGTTCAGAAAATCCAGGAGTGATTATTGAGAAACAAATGCATCCACAAAATGTCACTGTTTGGTGCAGATTTTGGGCTGGAGGTATCATTGGACCATTCTTCTTCAAAAATGCATCTGGTCAGTAATAACAGTTAACGGTGCCCGACATCGCGACATGTTATTCCAGTTTTTTTCTGCCTAAATTGCAAGATATGGATGTAGACAATGTGGTTTCAACAAAACACTCAAAATTCCATGTGATGTGGTAAAAGTTGTCCAAATTGAGATATTTTTTAAAAATACTCGTAATTATGTCCGTTTTCTTATGTCACTGCGACAATTGCGATATTTTAAGATCTCAGCCTGAGATATCTTAAATACTCTTATAAACTACAATCAGAAATGTTTCCGATACTTGATACCACAAAATATGAACAATATTTGGCGAATATAAAAAAAGTAAGGTATAAAGCTTAAAACCAGTTAATTGCAAGCCCTTCAACCATAAATTCTTGAAACCATAAGCCTAAAAACCTAACCTAATAAACCTAAATTCATTAAACTAAGCCCACAAAACCCAGACCCATAAAATTTAAACCAATAACATCTAAACCCACAAAACCTAAACCAACAGGTTTATAGTTTCACAAATTTGTGGTTGAAGGAATTACAATTAACTGGTTTTAAAATTTATACCTTACATTTTTTAGATTCGCTAAATATTGTTCATATTTTGCGATATCATTTATGATCTTATAAGATCACAATTGTCGCAGTGACATAAGAAGGCAGACATAATTACGAGTATTTAAAAAAATATATACAGGGTAGGGTAGAAGGAGCTCCCCGATTTTAAAGGTTAATTGTAAGAGAACGGTTGGAGATACATAAAAAAAGTTTGTATTGCTCAAAAGTACATATAATGCCGTTTTTTTATTATTTTTTTAAAATGATATCGTTCAAGTGGCAACCTTGGCGAGCAATGCACATATTGAGCCTTTCGAAGAAGTTTTCGGTCACTCTTCCCAGCATATCTTTCGAAATTCCAACGATGATGTCCTCAATTGTCTCCTTCAGATCCTCAAGAGTTCGAGGTCAAATTTTGTACACCTCAGCTCAAAGAGATCAGGCGACCAGGAAAGCGCTCTTGCAAAATTTCTCGTAAACGATGGGCAGTATGGACTGTGGCTCCATCTTGTTGAAACCAGAAGGCTTCTGTGTCGTGTTCTTCACCATATTCTTCCATTTTGGGACGAAAAAAGTTCTCCAACATGTCACAATAGCATGCCGAATTCACAGTAACAGTCAATCCTTCGGATTCAAAAAAATAAGGCCCAATAATGCATAAAGAGGACACAGCACACCAAACTGTTACTTTGGGGCTGTGAAGAGGTCTTTCATGTAGTCAATGGGGGTTTTCAGATGCCCAGTAACGAATGTTTTGTTTGTTTACTGAGCCATTGTAATGAAAATGTGGTTCGCACACTTTTAGGTCACCCAACTGGTTTCATAGGAACTGCAGATCCTGTCGCCCTTACATAACGGATCCATTTCCGAATGGTTTTAGGATCAAGAACACTGTCGTGACGATTCAACCCGAACCGAACCCGAAAAGCCCTCTGCGTAGCCACTACGCTTTCACCGTTTTTGAAGAATGTCTCCACAATAAAGTCCCATTGCTGACCCGACCACGGCATAGTGACTACTGAAAACGGCACCTAACGGCACCAGCCCCACTCCTCTATTCGGACCGAAGACCCTTCAATGATTTTTTAAAACTAGGGAGCTCATTCTGCCCCACCCTGTATATCTATCCCAAATTGGACAACTTTTACTAATTCGCACGGAATTTTGAGCGTTTTCGCCCACTCTGAGACGGTGCTACAGGCCGAGAAAAAATTAAATTACTGCACAAGTGGCTTCCCGTTTTGGTGATCAGAATTGGCCGCCCTGATCAGGTGATTTCAAGTAGTTCGATTTTTTTCTTTGGGGTTTTTTGAAGTTTTAGGTTTATGCCAACATGCCCATGACCACCCGCGCCTTGACTGAGAAAATTGAACACTGTATCAACAAAATTCAGCCATATTTATGCAAAACGATCATAGAAAATTTCAACAAAAGAGTGGGTATATGTTAACAAAGCCGTGGAGACCATTTATCCGAAATGCTATTCCATACATAACTTGATATTATATAATTTATGAATCAACAGAAAATTTGCAATTCCAAATTAAAAACCTGTGTTTTCTATTAAAACTACTCCTTGCATGAATTTTGGTACACCGTTGATAAAGCAATATAACCGTAAATAAATGAGATAAAGAAATGAAATGAAAAATATTTAAGAAACATTACCTTTAGCAGTAGTGCATGTACCCCAGGAAACGAATTCCACCTAAGCTGTGACTGCAGTTTTTCCACCTTATCCCTGGCATCAGGTCTATCAAGCGGTAACCTATGCATAACACTTGTTAAAAGTCTAACGGCCAACAGGAATTCATGTTCATAATCAGATTCCAGAAGTGACACAGCTAACCAAAACAACTGAGCCAAGATGGTTAACTTGTCATCTTGGGTTGCCGTGTCTCCTAACAATTTCAGGCTTTGCGCCGATCTCGAACGCGACAAATTCGCGGAGAACTTGTTAATCCCACTTCTGTGTTCTATTTCGTTGCTGAGTCTATTACGGTCTTTAGCCTCTGAGGCAGACTGGGCGTTCTTTCTAAGACCGTACGACACGGAGTAACTGGTACTTCTAGCATGACCGGCAGAAGTGGAGTGACCGTAGAGAGGCACTCCGTTAATATTCGCAGGAGATCCTTCGGGATTGCGTTTGAAGGGCATCGCGTCCTTGTTGTTCAAATTAGGGGTCGATTTGAAGAAGTCCTTCATAAAATCGAGTGGGCGGAAGTCCGACTCCAACGATTCCACAGCGGCTTCAAGAGTCAGCAATAATTCGGTTACGTAACCTAAATATATTTTTTAATTAGTGATATACTCGCAAGAGTTACAAAATTTTCTCACCTTGCATATCTTCACCTTGTTCCGCAACCGTCTCTACCAAACGACTTAAAATATCGGAAAGCATTCTCGAGGTTATGGGAACTCTTAGAGCCCTATAAATTTGCAAGGATCTGCCCGCGTAGTGCCTCGACGAGCAACTTAATCCTAACTGCAAAGCTGTCTGTGCCCATCGTTCATTGATATGAGCAGTAGGTAGAGATTCTCTGAATACTTTTAGAATATATTGCAAGAATATGTCAATTTGTTCGGCGCTTTTTATCGTCCACACTTTTGCTGTAATGTCCTCGTAATTCCACAAGGAAGTATTTTGTCTGGTAGCAAGGAATTCTATCAACGACTTTATTATCGCTGATACCGTTAGCTCGACTTTGTTAATGGGTGCCACTGGTTCAGTATTCTCTGGCAAAACTATCACTGGAGGAATAGAACTATCTTTTTCTTCTGCTAAAATTTTTTTTAGAAAAATATATTTTCAAATTTAGTTAAATTAAAATTGCAAAATATTCATATTAAAGTCGAAAAACCTCTCAATGTGCATGCTTCAATAACTAGAGTTATCTTAAATTTATATAGAAATATAAAGTATAATTTAATGTGAATTTTGCATTTGGACAGCACTCATCTAACCAAACGCAAGATTCGTCATATTCACTTGTGTTTTGTGTCTGGATATGGTTTAAAGATAAACTCAATTCACTTATTTAGGCCTTTTTCAATAAATTTTGTTAGTAAACACAATGATTAGAACTGAAATAAAATTCATTCACATTCCAGGTGTTTATATTGCTTTAAAAATCGTTGAGAATGAAATTCCGATAACATAATACAGACAATCTAAAAACATAATAATAATACTGAAGTAATATTTTTTTTATATTTTGTTTTTTTTTCAAAGCAGAAGTATTATCTTGTAAAGAAATACTGTTTTTATGTTTACTAATTCTTAACCAAATAAGCTGATTCAAGAAATTGCTCAATTTGGTAACAAAAATTGTGGTAAATTTACTAGCTGCAATAAAATTGAAAAAAATTGCAGGCAACGACTAGTACTAGTTCTAATTTATTGAGAACTTTGGTGATATTAGTGTAGTGAGTATTATGGTTAACTTGGCAGATTTGATCTTCAAGCAGACAAGCCTGTGTATGTGACAAGTATAGTACAGATAAATCTACAGGTCCCAACTTGTATTAAATCAACTGATTTGATCTACTCAAAACAAAAATATCCTTTTTTAAATAACAGATAATAACAAAAGAAGAACTTTAAATTCTCCTAAAAAATCAAGAGTTAAGATAAAATGAAAATAGCAATGAAATGTTAAATGACAAACCACTAACCACTGACATGGAAATTTTAACTAATGGATCTAATTGGATGATCACATTAGGAAATTAAATATGAGCCCTAATAACTCACCACAGATTTAGTATGTAACGTATTTGATATGAAAGTTAAATCTATATCGATTAAATCCCTCTGCCTTTATAACTGTCTGTGTTATGATGTACATGTAACTTGATATTTATTCAATATAATACGTTAAAATTTTGCCACGTCTTCATAAAACAGGGCAATAAAAAAATTACTTTTATATAATCTACAATTAAAAGCCAGAAAAAAATACTTTTTAATAATACACACTGAGTATCACCGACTTACTAATCGAATGACACCCTTTGTCGTCAACTACTATTATTTTTAGCACAATCGCTGAAGTAAAGTCCACTTGATTACACAGCCACACACAAAAAAAAGTTGTCTGTACTTTTCATGCGGCATATGTTATCTGTAGTATTTTTGCCACCTAATCAATAACCAGTGGTATTAGGTGATAAAAGTATGAATAACACAACCACATAAAAAAAAGTTGTCTGTACTTTTCATGCGACATAGTATTTTTGCCTCCTGATCACGAATCCGCTGTCAGAATTGAGATATCACATCATAGGAATTTCCTAACCTCAAAAAACAGGACAAAAATAGCAAAAATTCACGAAAAAGTGCTAGGAAAAATAGAAAAAAAAATTGTTTCTACAAGGTCAGAAAGTACCGATGGTCTATCTGAAGTTACATGAGTGCGATAAAGTAAAATATAGAAATACATGCAATAGAGGAGGATGGCTATAATGAAGGCGTCTCATAGTCGCCGCCCGTTTTGCCCTTCCACAAATAAGATCCACTTCTTATTTGTGGAAGGGTAAAATGGGCGGTGACTATTAGACGCCTTCATTATAGCCATCTTTCCCTATCACACGAATTTCTATGACTTACTTTATCGCTCTCACGAAACTTCAGATAGACCATAGGTACTTTCTGACCCTGTATATTCAAATGTTCATTTATATGGTTAAGGCCCCGCCGAACATGAATCTGCGGTCAGCGACCCCAAAAACCCCCTTATACCAAATTTGGCAAGAATCTGTTATTTTTTGAAAATTTGCTCGGCCATCTTGGATCCGCCATCTTGAATTTTGCAAAATTAACCTTGGATCCGTGATTAGCGACCCCGAAAACTCCCTTAGATCAAATTTGGCGCGAATCTGTTATTTTTTGAAAATTCATAATGTCTGACTTTATTGAGCCGTTTTTTTGAATATAAAAAAAAATCTGTTTTTTATAGCATGCTATTTTTGACATGCTTTTTGAGGTTAAGAAATTCCTGTAATGTGATAGCTCAATTCTGACGGCGGATTCGTGATCAGGAGGCAAAATTACTACGGATAACATATGTCGCATGAAAAGTACAGACAACTTTTTTTTGTGTGGCTGTGTTATTCATACTTTTATCACCTAATACCACTGGTTATTTAAGCTGTACTCAAGGCTGATACTCCCGAATATTAATATGTAGTTGCAATGTTTTGATGGCTGTTTTTTGTTTCCGAGGTACGTCTGCTGCTCGCATTGAAATTGGTTGTTATTCAACTGTCTCAACTGTAAACTTCCACGTGTCTTGCGCCTCTACGTTACTCGAATATGATGTACCTCGCAATGCCTAATACTAATTTACTATCGTCATCACCAATTTATGTCATGTGTGAAAATTGCAACAGCCTCCAACATAATATTGACATTTTTTCTTGTACCATAAAGTCAATAACGAATCTATTTTAATTGGCTTTTGTTTGTTTTGTTATTCATTTTATTTTGTGTCTTTATGGGCATTTTTCATTTTAACTTGTGTATACGTATAATGTTTATTGTATTTTACTAAAGCATATGACTGTTTTACACTACTGTTATTTTAGTTTTATTACTTTTAAATTTATTTATAGTTTTTTTTGTCTTCAAATTATTTTACCAATAATTGTTATTGTCATTTTTCTTTTTTTCAGTAATTGGATATTTTCTGTTGAATGGTGTAAAAAAAAAATCTTGATAAGTAAGGGTGGAAATATCACGAAACTTTAATACATTTCTTTTAAACGTTAGTACTATCCAACACACATATGAATTTTTGATTTGTGGCGCCAGCTGTGGGTTAGCCTTGGGACTTTTTGACCGATGTGTTCATATGTGATTTGACGATATCGTGATTAATTTTTATTCTAAGAGTTGGTAGTTTTAAATTCGGCCAACAGATTGACTATTTTAGTGTCCTATGTAAGAAAATGCAACAAATATAGTGAAAACAATTTATTGAACAATTCATTGTTTCAAAAATGATGTAAATAATAGTTACATCACATTTATCTGAAGAAAGTAATATTAGAATTGTTTTTATATGTATTTAGAAATTGCTATTGCCATGATAAATTTGTATTAAAAAAGTTGGTAGTTGCTTAAAAGCACGAATTTATCATAATATGTAAAATATATTGAACAATTTCTTGAACAGTTTCTCGAGTGAAAAATTGCTAATTGTAAAACCCTTTAACCGTATTAAACTTAAACATACCTGAATCCTCCCCTTTAGAAGGTATGCTTTGCAAACTCTGGACATTATTTTTATTAACTACCTCCCCAGCACCCGACAAGCTGGTCGGATTTTGTAAAAATTCGTTGTAGACAGCGTCAGATTCTACATTAAAAGGCTTTAATCAATACATTTACAAAAATAAATGAATAAACTAACCTGTAAACGCATGGATGAATACCGGCAAAGCGGGCGTCGACAAACCTAGGCCTAACTGTTTGGTCTTGCTATTCAATAAAATATGAGCAACGGTTAAGTGGTCGTTGTGCTGAGCCAATACAATCAGCAAGTTAAGCAACAACTGCTTGCAGTGCTGGTATACCAGGGGCCGGGTATGATCTAAACCTAAGAATAATATATGTAACATTAAAGGAATATGTACTGTCCAGTCTAGGTCTATTCCATCGACGACTATGTCGCACAGTAACATAACACCAACGTTGCACCTACAAACAAACACATGGTAACGAATGCTAAGTATTTATAAGCGAAATTTACCTGTGGAAACCAGATATGGGTTGCGAGCTGTCAGGTAAATATTCAGTAAGCGGGGCAAAATAACCGCCGAATTCTGGCATGGGTAAAGGATGAGGTTGGGGTAAAGGCATCTCTATTTTATCACGTAACATAACATCTTCCCCACTAGTGACCTGTAATGGCAAATATTAAACAGCAGCAGACGTGCTACGTATTCTTACCTCTTCTAGGGAGTTGGTCATGTCATCTTGGTTTCGTTGTTTGTCTGGACGGGACATATTAAAATCGGAAAAGACATTCGTTGCCGAGTCTGACTTCACAATTGACATTTTTGACGGATCTTCTCCACTGTGTCGTTTGGTATGTATTGTTCCTTTTTCTATGCCTTCAAATAAAACTGTTTTTATCACTATACTCATATTTCAAACAGTTAAAAAAGCTTCAGAAAATTCACTAATAAACTCACTGACAAAAAAACCAACTACTTAAAATTTGCACGATAATGTGATCAAGTTTCCTAATTACTTCAGCACTTAGACCTCCAATACATTATTTTGGTTGTAGGTGACTTATAACCTATAAAGTGTATGTCACATCTTAAGTGTCAACCACACCAAATTCCGCATTACTGCACTGCACTGCTAGGCAATTTGTCAACAACTGAAATTTATGGCGCAGTCGCCCAGTGCGACCGTGTTTGTACGCCGTTTGCCCGCGCGCGCCTTCTTCAACTAGGCGTATACATATCTACCACCTCCACGTTTAGTTTGACCAGACTGGTTATGGGTATGGCTAAATAAATATGGGAACAAGTTTTTCCAATATTTCAATGCCAAGTTGCTGCGTAGCGATCGAATCTGGTACGTATTGCCTAGCTCTTTGGTTTTCAATTGAGATCGGAAAGACTAATACCAGTAGACATTGACATTTAAAATGTAACAAACTTTACAGGTAATGTCAAACCCACACTCAAAATCTCTGTAGATAGATATTAAAATAGCTAAATCATTCCTTGGTTGTCTCACCTATAGCACACTGATGAAAACGAATAGGTTCAAAACTTGTCTACATCTGATGCTTCTCGTGAAGACGATTTTAGCTATTTACTAGATTTGCGGGTATAATTCAATGCTAGTTGGGGCACGTACCCCTAAAAGTGGTTGTTCCCCGTAATATCGTAAGTTGAAAAATCATATTGGTTCACCATATACAATAAACGAAACTTTTTTTTTCAAAATGCTTGTAAAAATTTTGACAAATTTCAGAAAAAATAATCATAAGTGAAGATTTACGAATGTTCTATAAAATCTTGTAAAATTTTAAGTAGCTGGATTCTTTTGCTGATAAGTTTAGAATACACAATAAGAGACATGACTACAAAATAACTGGATTGATGCTCTAAAAAAATGTTTTGTTAAAACTGTAGATTCTTTCTTGATTGATTGTACATGACCTTTGCCGTTTTTCCTTCACAGCCTCAGGAGACTCAAATCTAGTTCCTTTTAAAGCACACTAGACTTTCGGGAACAGAGAAAAGTCGCAAGAAGCTGAGTTAGCTGAGCAGGGGAAACCCAGGGAGCTCCAGGTGGAGAGAGCTTTGTGTACTGGCATTTCATGTCTTTTTTGGTAACGTGTTCACGAATGGTTAAAACCTCCTTGCTTGCCTTAATTTTTTCAGACAATTCCACAAATGTTTTCAATGTTAGCGTCTGTTTTAAATTTTTTAAACAAATCTAACACTTAGGTAGGAAATAAACTGCCATCAACATAAACTTCCTTTAACAAATTGTACCTTCGTGTGGCAGATTTTTCAAGTTTAGCGAGGTATTTCACATTGCGTATTGTTCTACTTTCACACTCAATGTCACAAAGTTAGTGGTACCGAACATCGCACGACTTTGAAATTTGGATGGTAGGGAGAAAAGAACACATAATAATATTTACAGGTTATTGCCAAGATAACAGCTAAACGGCAAAAATATCAGTCCAGTTATTTACTAAAAACACCTCACTAATCATTATCTTGGAAAAAAATATTAAAGAAATTTTCAGTTATCTCAACTCTTAAAAAAAATATTAATGAATTTAGTAACATTCGCTTCAAAACCTTGTAAATTAACTGATACAAAACATACTCAAATCGTTCCTACTACTTGAATCGGTCTGTCCAGGAACTCCATTTGTACCATCCGAATGACTAGACGCTTTTCTCATCACGGTAAGTCTATAAAATGGTGGTGTTTCTGTCCTTTCTATGAGGCAATTTAGTGTTTCAACTGTTTGTAGCTCTACCATCATTTCATCTAGTAGGCGTACAGGTTGGACCCTCGCCAAATACAGAACAACTCGTTTTGCCTAGACAACATATGTATAACATACGAAAGTTGTTACAACATTCCAGCAACAAAATTCTACAGGCAATTCCTAATTCTCAGATCAAAAAGGAAAAAAGTTTGATAAAGCGTAATAAAATTTTATTACTTTTTTTAATTATTATTCTCATTTATTTTATGATTATCTACGTTTGAATAAACAACTAATACAATTTTGTTGGTGGATTGCATTATTCTAAATATTTGTGTATTTATATAAATATATTGGTAAAACACATATTTTTTTAAGAAGTGTTTAAAAATTGACGAACAATTTAAAACAGAATTGACCACGTTAGGAATAAAAATTTTAACTTAAAGCCTGGCAAAGGGAAATTAAATTATTTAAAATAAAATAAGAGCACTGTATAAGTAACAATGGAAGATTTTTATGAGAAACCGAAAAAATTACCATTTTAAGTATTCAAATACTGTAAAACTAATCAAATATGTGTCCAATATAGTAGAGTTCAATACTTACATATGGTAAAAGTTCACATGGTGCCATTCCAGATACAATTATCAAATACCGTATAATAACCTTCATGTTGTTTGGCCAAGATGTACAAAGTGTGCCCCACACTTCTTCAATCTCTTTCGGATGGTTGTCACCAAACTAAATCAAATGTATTAAGTAGTAACAAATGAATTAATTTTTTTTATCATTTACCTTTGCGGTTATATAAAAAATATTATTCAGTACCATTTCGGTAGCTTCCGCAGAGCCCCACCCGTCTTTTCGTTCTGCACCCATCTCATTTGCATAAAACTAAAACCACATTAAATTTTTCAAAAATTATTTATCATTTAAATAAAAGAAACTTTGAAAATATTATATATTTTATTATTAGGTCTCGTAATGTTACTTTATTTTAAAGATATTAAGCTAATTTAAATGAAAAAAAAAAAGCTTCTAAAAATCTAATATAGGGTGTTAGAAGTTTGACTGTCTTAATTTAACAGACGATAGAATACATTAAAATAAACAAAAATAAAACTATATAATGGGTCCTAAACTCAAACATTTCCGTGAAAAAAATTATCAAAATCTCCAACTTGTTGTACAAAAGTTTGATTAATTAAGAAATATTGACATAACTGTGTGCCCAGAACACCATAAAATACAATGTTTATCACTTTTTTATACTTCTTTATGCTTAATTCTAAAAAATTAATAAATACCGAGCAATGTGACAACGGCGCGGCGGATAATACGAGGTACTAAGCTGTCGTGCATTAAGCAATTCAATTTGTATCTGGAATTGAACTGTGTCTGGAGTGTTTTTTGCGTACCACTATTTCCTTTTCTTGAGATGTTTTCCAGCGAATGCAAGAAAATTGGATTCGAAGGTGTCCTGCATGCATCGAAAATGGTGGTGGACATTTTGAGCATACAATGAAAATCGGTTATAACGACCTTCAAGGGACCGTTTGTTTACGGTTGTTATAACCGATAGATAGCACGATAGCAATTACATATATTTTATTTAAAATTTTTACAGAAAAAATTATAAATTTACAATACAAGTCTTTAAGTATTTACATGTATTTTATTGTGTTCAAAAGATCTCGTGCGCTTATTTACTGCTACTTTATTTCTATCCTTCCAAATTGTTGAAACTGTAGTGTGACACGCCATATTTTTTTGCTTGCTTGCATTAGTTTCTCCGTTTTTTTATCCGTATATTATATATGACATTTCTTCTTTATTAAACACTTTCCTCTTCGTCATCGTGAAAGAAAGCGGTAATTAATTCATATAACTGTATGCGTAGATAAGTCGTAATTTGTCCCGAATATACCAACTGGTGTCAAAAGCATGGATTTTGAAAGGGCGGGCGGAAGAGCGGTGCATTGGTTTTAAGGCTTAATGTCACTATTGGTCGTTATAACCGACAGATTCTATGGTAAATGTATATAAAAATACGTTGCTAAATCCGAGATGTCATTGTAAAAGGTGTCACAGTAAACGATATTTTTAATATGGTATTTCTATAGGGCTAAATCGGGACTTCCAAATTCTGTCGTTATATTCAATATGTCGTACAAAGCGATGTCGTTATAACCAATTTTCACTGTATATATTTTTTTTAATCAGTTTAATACTTTTAACACAAACCAATATAAAATTCAAAAAAAATTATCATTGTCAACCAATCAATTCATTTTTGAAATACTAAATCAGAATTCCATAACTGATAATGATAAAAATAAGTAAATTTTGTAAATACAATTTTTGTTGGCAAACTATACTTAACAAATATGATAATTTTTATATTAATTAATGTCAAGTTAAAAAATGCATAGGAAATGTGTCCAAATAATCTTTTTTTCTAAAAAAAAAAATTTATGTGAAATATTACATACCTGATACATATGTGCATTACTTGGAGGAATGTTAGGGTCTACTAATTCCATATTATGTAACCAAGGCAACAAATACTGAAGAAGTAATTGTCTCACTTCTGGTCGTGCTGATTGGAATCTGTATGTAATTTCTAAAACACGTTAAATCTCACAATTACTTAGAATCTTTTAATAGTGTTTGTTCGTTTCACACAAAAAAATGTATACAGTTTGTTACTTACCAGAAAACATTGGCATTGTCAGTTCAGGATGCAAAAGAGCTAATTGTCGAGACAAATGAATTTGTGACCTACAATATGTAGTGGCTAATATCACATCTAACGTGCTTCTTCCCTTATCTCCCTCGGCTACAAAAATATGTACCACTTAGCTTTCATTTCAAGTCTTAATTAAAGCTTAACAGATTTGAAGCTAAAATATATATATTGTTTTGTTAAAAAAAAAACACCTACCTAAATCATTTTCAGCCAAAGGCCCGATGCAACCGAAAAATCTTTTATCTAACAATTGCAAAAGTTGTAAGGCAGTATCCCGGACAACTTGTCTGGGACATCCGGTATTCATTAGTGTAACATTGATAATAGCAGTGTAATGATCACACGGGTATTCCCTGGAAAGAATAATAATTTTAACCTGCTGACTCTAATCAACTATTAATAACACCTCAAAATTTTGTTAGTTTTGATCAAATATACCGGGTGTTTCAGAGTTGAAGTGTCAAAAGCTTAAGGAAGATTCCGTTCAGAAAAATATGTAAAAAGTTCATATGGACATGGATCCGCAAGTGCTTCGTTTGCAAGATACAGGGTGTTAATTAAAAAAAAAAATGAGTTTTTAAAAAACACTAGCCGATTTGAATTAAATTTTTACGGATTATTAAAATAATTACCATACATCAACTGGACCAATTAGATTCAATTCAGAATTTTCAGGACCATGCTCAACGAGCAAGTCGTTTTTTTTATACTAGAAAATATTTTTTTGCTTCTGACAAGGCCTACTGTTCTAAAAATAAACACATGTTTCCAATTACCTTTTGATCAAGCACGATAGTTTCCACAAATCTAATTTCAACTTAATAATTTGTTGTCATTTATGTATTTTCTGATTAGCGTAATTATATTATTGAGTACTAAGGTTAAAACAAACTGTTAATTTCTAATCATTTTTTATTAAGGTGCACCCTTTTTATATTCGCTCATTTACAACCACATTTATATGCATTTGAACACACAAAATTTAAAAAAAGTAAATTTTTTCCATACAATATGGTGTATGAGGAACGAGCTCTTAAAAGAAAATTGTGATGGAAGTGCTGTCAATGACGATGTGCTCCACGAATATATACAAGGTGATTCACAACTTATCCAAAAAATTTTGGGAATAGATGCGGCATGAGAAATGGAATCAATATCGTAAAAACAATTTTTGTAAAATCCTTATAGCTTCCGAGAAAAAAATTATTAAAGTTGTAGTACTTTCAAGCATTATATTGTTGGACAACTGCGTCATTCGCAATACACGTAGAGAGCCACGTGGCCTCAGCGACTTTGAATACTGAAATCCGATTTTACAATCGTTGTGATAGTGTTTACAATGTGTGTAAAGTCCTTTATTCCTTTCCTTGCGAAATTCTTTCAAGTTTTTGTCCGTTTTTATTGTATTGTCCGAAGTCAGGTTTTACAGTGGAGCAGTTTCCAGTGCCATGCAGAAGTGTATTTTTAAATCATTTTCGAACTTTCTTTTTTTATTTTTTCTTTACAAAATTGTATTTGTAAGAGTCCCCTGTACATCCAAAATTCTGAAGTTCTGAATCACCCTGTAGAAAAAGGCACGGAAATAATTTGGCAAAAACGCTCGCTTCTAACAGCACACACTGAGTTGAGAATACTTTGAGTGATAGCTTGTGTGAATAAAAGGGATTGCGATATTTTCTAACATCTTTAGGTAAGCTCGAATCTATCTAAATTAAAAGGTAAATTTTTTTTACTTTATTTTTTAATTTTAAAAAAATATGTTACTTGAAAAATGTTCTTACTTTTTGAGTTTTATGTTATGTTAACTCAAAAAATTCAACTTAACAGATACAAAATTCAATTTAGAACAATTTCTGAGAAAGCTGTAGTAAAGAAAACAAAAAAAAATCAATAGGTGAAATACATATTTATAAGGTTATCCACCAACCTGGCACTGAATATTGTTGCCAATGCGAGGAAGCAGCCATCTGCAACGACAGATGTTCCGGTGTAACACTTATCAACTACCCAGTCCAACAACGGCGACACATCGGGATTCGATTCCAAAAGTAAAATCACAGTTTCTTGAGCCAAATTATACACCTATAATTGTTCCTGTTAATAATAAATCGTAATAATTACACAAAGTGTCATACTTTTTCATCGGAGCTGTTTAAAAGTCCATCCAGCCAAGAATAATACGAACTTTCCTCAGATAATGAGTCAAAGCACGGACCGCAGCACAGCAATGAACTCATGGCTTGCAAAGACACAAACTGAAGTTCGATATGTTTTTTGTTTGACATATCCCCTTCTAACTGTGTCGTTTTGTTATTGGGAATTCCATATTTTCCTACCCAATTTGTGAACAACGTAAATAAGTTGCGTCTAAGATCTCTCTTCAGCAGACTTCTACACGTCTCCACTAAAATTTGTCAAACTCAAGTCTAATTTACGATAAATAAGACTATTATTTAATTGTTAACTCAAAAAAAATCTTTTGTTGATCCATAAGCTGAACATAAAAAAATTAAAACACATACATTCCTAAAACGTTATATCAGGGAGCAAACTGATAATCTTTTGTGGTCAACATACAAGTAGGTGGAGTATTTTATTTAAAATATATTACTTCACAACTTTTTTTGAGTCATAATGTAAAGTAAGACATTATTGATGAGCATCAGGGCAGACCTTAGGGGTTCTAATAGTTGGTTCCCAGAGTCTAGCCCGAGAACAAGGGCGGGTCAAAGGTTCCTAGCTAAGGTTAAGGAAGTGAAAGGTAATTCTATTACCGACCAGGTACACAGGCCGCAGCGTAACAAGTAACAACCCAAAAAAAATATTGTGCTTTAAATTGTGAATCAAAGAAAAAATTTAAGTGAAAAAAAATTTCATATCTTCATTATAAACACTTGCTTTTTTAAACTAAACAGTTAATTCAGAAGGCCTTGAAAAGATCTATAAACTGATACTTCAATTTTTAGGATATCTTAAAATTATACGAGATACAGGCTTGGAGGGTTTTAGATAACGGTTATTGTATACCAAACGGGAAAGCATTACTAAACCATGAATATTAAAAAACCGTCAGCAACAAATCATTTTCTATTGTGAATATGATAAATTAACGCATAAAGATACTTACGACTAAAATTCTTAATCATCTTCCTTATGAAGTAGCAAAAATGTAAAGTTAAATCTCTTACGCTGCTAGAATTCTTATCAGGCTCGTTCTCTAAATAGTAACGTACTCCTTCTATGAATTCAACTATTACAGGATGAAGTGCCTGAGTGTCCTTATCCAACACGCAAGGACTAATTCCAAATGTACCATTTTCAGCGATATATTCCAACAGTCTCATAAGTTGCAGTCTTAACGCATCTCTTCTTCGCCTTCTCCTGACATTCTCTTGTTTCTTGTCTATCGCCTCACGAATATAAACGGCCAGTTCCTCCAAGAGGTCTCTAAAATGGTTCGTTTTAGCAAAAACAACAAAGAAATGATAAATTAGCTACCTCAGAGCAGAACCGTTAATATTTCCAATGGCATAGACTGCAGCATCCTTTATATCGGTCACCTCGCACCGCAAATGCGGTACTACGAGTTTATAAAGGGCCGAAGGGGAAATACTCGATGGGCATAATTTATTGTCCGTTTTCTCAGCATTTAAGCTATCAGGAGAAGAGCTATAAGAAAAAAATAAATAGTACGTTCAAAAACTATTTTTTAATCACATAAAGTGATCACAGGGGTCATATTCCCCCGAATACGAATCTGAAATTCTTTTTTTTTTAAATAGTCGACAGGGCGGCGTAAACCGGGACACTCGCAATTTGCATATTAGTGCACTATCAGCATTGCAGTGACAATGAAAAATAATTTAGTAAAATAGATTGCTTTTGTATAACTTAGGGAGGTGCCATTTTAAAGTCACCATATTTTTTTTTGTCATGACTGTGGTCAAAGTCAAGAACATTACAAAAGAACATATAATTTCTAAAAATATATAAAAAAATTTTACGAAATTTATTAAATATTGACAAAAAATGGTATGGAGATGCGTTACTAATCGTAAATAATTTTTTTTTAATCAACTGTTAGATAGCAAAACTAACGAAAAATAATTTAGTGAAAACAGATTGCTTTAATAGAACGTGTTACCATATACATGTTAAAGTCACCATTTTTTTTATGTCAATGTGGACGAAGTGCCAAACACTAAAAAAATTGTTTTTAAAAAATTAAAAATTTTGACCATTTATTAAGTATTAACAAACGCTGGTATTTATTTTTGCCGTTTTAAAAAACGACCAAAAAGTAAATAAAATTACTAATCTGATTGATATGAAACATATTTTCCATCATGTTCTGAATGCTTCCAAGGTGCAACGGAGGTTATCCACCTCTGTTCTGTTGCAATGCTGCCTCTGAAAGCGGATACGCTAACTGTCTTCGCATCTGGTATAAAACAGGAATGGCTAAATACTACAGTCTTTCATTTGGTCACATTTTTACTATAGTCTTCAATTTTATCAGTTTACGAGAGGGTATTCATAAAGTGCCTTTGTGTGTATAATCTTATAAAGTTATTTACTTCAGTGTCTGGTGACGGTACAGTGTAATTTGTGTTTTAATTTTCAAGTTTTTGTATGACATCATGAAAAAGAATATATACGAATCAAGAAAGAGTTGATAAGCTTAGAACCTACTTTTTGTAGAGTCCAGGAGCAAAGAAGACAATATCAGATAGATTACCCCGACTTATGGGTACCGAATAAGAAAATGTTTGTAAGATTGATTCAACATTTAAGAAATTATGGAAGCTTTGAATGCCAATACGCTAATGTTGGACGGGAACAAATTCAGGGAATGAAAAATTTCAAGCCACGCCTCTGCCGCGGTAAATTGTTACAGTCGTTTCGATAACAGAACCTTATTGGCTTATTTTCTTGGAATTCTATCTCAATACATATCGTAGGGACTGTATAATCGATCAATTGATTTGTTTTGGTCTACGGAAGCTTTGGTTTAATTTTTTACACCTACTTATGACCCACTCTGTTTAACATAAATCGATAAGAAATGAATAAAATTTGTACAATTTAAATCTCCCAATAAAAAATTTTATCATAATTTTTTTAACATAAATCCCACTTACCTTAAACTAAGATCTGGGCTAGCACACCTAACAATAGGATTCGATATGAGAGGCGCTACTCTAAATGCGAAAGTAATATAGTTTTTCCATAAATGCATATACGCGTCGCGTTCTGTCGGGGGCTTCTTAATAGCAGTGGCGCTCCTTAACAAAGAGGCCCTATTATCATTTAATGGCCTGTAAATAATAAATTATGTTATCATAAAAATTAGGAGAACGCAAGAACTTACGTTGGATCGACAACAGAATACAGTGCATTCAGTCTTGTGAAAACTATCGGCCAGGAATGCATAGTCATAATCGGACACAAACTTAACAACCTATCTCTTTCCAGAAACCCAAAGTAACACAGGCTCCAAGGATCTACGACACTAAAATTGTAGCTGGCGGAACTTTTCACTACGCCATCCTCGAATAGTCCAGCCGTCCAAATTGATGAATTTCTGTCTGCTAACCATTGAAGATCGATATTGCCCGCTGCTTGTATCGCTGTTTTCTCAGCGGGCGGTAACAACGGTAAACATTTCTCTATGACTTGGGTGCAACATTGGTCCATAACGTCAATGACTGGAGGGTTTTCGGAACAATTTAAAAGCTTCAACAGACACTTAACTTCTTTTAGGATGAAAACGGACAACCTTCTAGTGGAGAGCTTGTAGTTACATAACATTATTAACGCTAATGCTTCAACTAGATGAAGCACGGATGACAACGGTTCGGATTTTCCAACGTCTGTTCTTTTCGTAAGGTTTGGATCGGGTGGACCTGCCTTCAAGTCATTGTAGTCTTTCCCTAAAGAAAAAAACTGTAACATTTTTTGTGAAAATGAAATAAAAAAAAATTGTTTCCCTAATTTATTGGGTATTTTGCCACCTGCGAAAAAATTAAAAAAGATTCAGTCGACGGTGATTTTCGTGTAAATAAAAAGAAATTATGTCAAACAATGAGAGGAAATAAATTAAAATTCCAGATATTCCTGTCTTATCCAAAAAATTAAGAAGATAGGTAACAAATTTAAAAATATGCAAAATACTGTGGGTACACATGTTCGACAGCAGATTGGCGCCAAGGACCAGATACTTATACCTGCGAGGGACTCCACACTGAGACTCTCCAGCGATCGCTCGCCCCAACAACACATTCTTTTTCACTAACTTGTTTTCAATAAAAATACTTTTATTTGCCGTTGAGAGAGAGTTTTTTATTGCTGTACACCAAAAGCCACCCTCAATACCAAATAAATAAGGAAAAAACAAAAAAATTAAATCAGTCAATAAAAAAAGACTTACCTATTCGTAAAGTTGTATTTGGCAAAAAGGTATTATTAGATATAGCAGACTTCCAAGCTCCTAATAGAGTCAAAATCATTTTTAACCCATGATCCATAAGTTGCGGGAAAGTATCTAGAACATCTTTAGCGACAAACTGGGTCAAACCCCACAAAACATCTTGACGCCAGTCAGGAAAATCAACAACAAGACTCTGCAAACTGCAATAAGAAAGTCCCCTCAATTCCTCGTCCATGTGAACGGTTAGTCGACTTAGTAAATCGACGAGTTCACCACTGGTCATACCATCGGGTATCAAACGTGGAACAGCCGCAACGCAAGTTCTAAATAATTCAATCCTTGGTTTTCTTTCCCCCGTGATCATCTCGTCTGGTTCTTTATTAACGTTTTGAGTATTAGTCATCATTAAAGGCCTGCCGTATTGAGTGTCGAGTGCCCTCAAAATATCTACAAATACTCGACGGACGTGGGGAAAATAAGCGTTCATGCCGATACTTCTCGCGGTATCTTCCGTTAACATTTTATTCAGAAAAGTCTTGCGTACTCTCAGAGTATTACCGCTCGGTAAAACGCCGACTGATCTTGGCATTGGCGGATCGCCTTCCTTCTGTTGCAAACTGTCAGCTACCACCAGGAAGGCCCTCAGTCCTATACTCATTCTTTCCGGTGTTAAAATTAGTTTAACAGGCCTAGCAACTGAGAGTAGGTCGAATACAATTTCTCTCATGGCAAAATCTAGCCGTTCTTGAGCTATGAACTGGATGATCTTCACGAAAATATTCAGAGGGGTGTCTCTGGGCACGACACCCTTAGACCCCTTGGGAAACAACGAATTCACAATGCTCTGCAGCCTCGACTGGGTTGCGGAATTACTTTCGCATTTAATTCTTATCATATACACCCACAAAAGACGATACAACGACTCTAAAAATAATGTGTTTTAAATTTATAAAAAATCGTTTATACGTTTTATTTTACCTAAAGCAACGCGACACATCTTGGGGTCTCGGTTTTTTAGATGAGACAAACACATGGCTAAAAAGTAATGCCAGTTTTGCAAAAAGAATTGTTTCTGGCTAACACACAACAGACAGGTGACTAGCGGAAATAAAGCCAACCGATGCTTAGATTTCGTGCTCGCATCCAGTGTTTGCGAATAAAGCATTTCTACAAAGTTCTTTAAGCAAGGGACATTCACCTCGTTTTTAACCGCCTGTAATAAGTAAAGTTGGTTTTAATATCCATACGAGTATTTAAAAAAATACAATAATTCAGTAATTCCAGAAGCTAAATGTATTTCTAGCTTTGCAGTATATAAAGGAAGTACTATTCAGATTCAGATTAAAATATATAAGTAGTATGAAAAAAACAATTAGAAAGTTTAGTATTGTTGTGATTAATGTCCAGGTATTAAATTATACGAACAATTTTGTCGACGGCATCGTCCTTTGTCAGGATTTTGAAAATATAGATGAAAATGAATATAGAATATATTAATATATAATATGAATATAGAATATGAATATAGAATATGAAAATGAATATAGAATATATGAATATAGAAAATATAATTAATATAGAATATACATATGTAGAAATGAAATGAATAAATAGAATATACAGGGTCGGAAAGTCCCCATGGTTTATCGGCCGTTACGTGAGAGTGATAAAGTAAGTCATAGAAATCCGTGCGATAGAGAAAGATGGCTATAATGAAGGCGTCTGATACTCACCGCCCATTTCACCTTTCCACAAATAATAAGTGGATCTTATTTGTGGAAGGGCGAAATGGGCGGAGACTATTAGACGCCTTCATTATAGCCATCTTTCTCTATCACACGGATTTCTATGACTTACTTTATCGCTCTCACGTAGCGGCCGATGAACCATGGAGACTTTCCGACCCTGTATATAGAATAGAATAGAATATAGAAATGAAAATGAATAGATATGAAAATGAATATAGACTATAAGTACATATAAATGAACATAGAATATATATAGAAATTGAATATAGAATATAAGAATATAGATGAAATGAATTTAGAGGAAAATTAAGATGAAAATATAGATGAACTGGAAATATGATGAAGATGGAAATATAGATGAAATAATAGATGAAGATAAATGATAGAATTTGGAAATATTTGGCCACGATTCAGAAGATAGGTGAATTGTTGAAATGTGCTTGAGACTGATATTATGACAGTAGCTGCTTTTATTTATATCCATTTTTTACAATACATAATAAATAAATAATGAATGGGATTTCAAGAAGTCAAGTCTCAGTCGTTTATCTTTTTGCACACGATAAGCCGAGAGAGAAATAGGTGGTTTTAACGATAATAATAATCATAACATATTATCGGAAGACTATGCAAAAATGAATAGCACGGTAGAATTTTAATGCAGAGAATACACAAAATGATTTTATCAGATAAAAAAATGGTAAAAACTATGGTTTAATTAATTTATTTATGATTCTACTGCCTACTATTTAGACACTAGGATATAAAAAAGTGACATACCGCAGCGACGGGAACTAAGATCTCAACAAACAGGCCCGCTAGAGCATGTTTTATATCTTTATCTTTGACTTCCAGAAAATATTGGGCACATTCCTGCATAAACTGGAACGAAGCCTCAAACTCCTCTATTGGTACCATTTTAACTCTAAAGAATTTCATCCCCATTAGTAAGCTTATTATACTCTGAGTTGTACTTGGACTAGACTCTTTTGATCTCAGTTCTTTCAGTTCTGCCATAAACCTTGTTCTAACCGACATAAACCTAGATTGTGCCAATACCCCAATTACTTCGGCATAGAGATCAGATATCATGTGAATATTGGCACTGTTTGGGCTATTTTGTATCCTGAAAAAAAAAGTTTATTCCTGAGCTACTATTGTCATTAGTTTCGTTAGTTGATTCTTTAGTTTACGTGTATATTAAGAATTTATGTAAAATGTATTTATTCGTTGTAAAAAACGAAGACTCAAGGTTTGTTTGATATTCAAATTTTTATAAAATACTGCACTGCAAAACAGGAAACTTATCTATAAGTATAAAAGATAATCATTTTCAAACGATAAAGTAGATAACAAATGTATTAAAAATAGATTCAATTTTTGATCAGATCAATGTTTGCTGACTAATACATTAAATATTGTATGTAAAAAATTACTAACCCCTCGTGATATTTAAAGTGTTTAAGAGCTAAATTTTCTATGTACTGAACCAAATCCTCGTGTCCAGGATGCAATCCCATCTGTTTCAGGACTTCGATTAAAACTAAACAAAATATAAATTCTACGGCTAAGTCTCTTTTCTCCTTTTGTATATCAGCCTCAGACCTTTCTACTGTCTCAGTTGTGTTGCCTGCCACTATATTTATTATACTGAAATAAAATATTGATTTTAACATTAGACCCATGGATTGTACGTAATTACACACCTTTTTTGTTTAATATCAGACTTTTTCTGCTCGGGATTCGATACCTCCGACATTTGCCGTTCATACCACGAAAACAATGCGCGGAGCAAAGATGGCAAACAGTGTTCTGCTACTGATCCAAACGCACTCAACAATTGATCAAACTGAGCATCTTCCCCTCTTTGCAATGTTTTTGATAATGGTTTTTCCTAAATATAAGAAATGTATTACTTACCTCTGTAATACTTATTTGCATATACAAGTGATTAAATATTTTTAAAATGCAATGTTTTAATAGAGTACCTGTTGTTCTGTCATTACAAATTCAATTTTTTTTTCGGCCAGGACAGTAAAGTCTGCAAATAGGTTTCTCATAACAAACTCTCCCGGCCTGATTTCCATATCTATTTGCCCAGAATGAGGTGATCTTTCCTTTTGGGCACCCCATGGTAGAAGCATTCCTCTATTTAAAGCAACAACAGTTTCAGCTTTTCTCTCTGATCCTAAAATAATTATATAAGGATACTTCAAAAATATTCCCGTACATTAAGCAGATTATAAGGTTATTTTTTTAATAATCTCTCTTCTACTGCTTTGTTTTCCAAATATATCAAATGTATTTATTTGCAAATTTCCATTAGTTGAAGAAACATGAAAAATAGTAAGTTTTTTGAACTTATAATATGAAAAACCCACTATTTTTTAAAGTAATATCATATACTCTTATATCCGATGGTAAATTTGACACTCCCTTTATATCATTGTTCCAAATCGTTTATACATTAAAAATACTAAAAGATATACAGGGTGTTAATGAACTTATGTCAAATATTTTTGCCACATCTCCGTTATGTTAAAATGAGGTAAATACACCGATTTGTATTGAGTAAAATGTAATTTTAAAATCTGACTTACCTCAACATTGCAAGGAGCCACTTTTGAGAACTGCTGACTTTCATAAATGTTCGATGTACCCACCATTTACTTGCATACAAGCTTCAACGCGACGTATTCAGTTCGCTTGCATGTGTTGCAACACTGTCACATCCTCTCGAATCGTATTACAAGCTTCGGCAATATGATGTCGCAGTTGGTCAATGTCACGAACTTCCGTGGAATACACAAAACTTTTCACAAATCCCCACAAAAAGAAGTCGAAAGGGGTGAGGTCGGGGGGCCAGAGGGACCATCTAATGCCGCGGACTAACCAGCGATCGGGAAAAGTAATGTTTAGAAAGTCGCACACTCTCCAAAAAAAGTGAGCAGGGGCTCCGTCATGCAGTAACCACATATTTTGCCGAACATTTAATGACACATCTTCCAATAACACTGGCAAGCGATTTTGCAAAAAATCTAGATATGAAGCACCATCTAAGCGTCTAGGCAATTTAAAAGGTCATTAGCGATACTAACCCACACGTTCACTGAAAACTGTTCCTAAAGGCACCGGGTTGTATTTCGTGCAGATTTTCGATAGTACAGTGGGGAGTGTTGTGAACGTTACGTACACCATTTCGACTGAAACATGCTTCATCTATAACAAGTATTTGCGCTGTAAATTAAGGATTTCTTGCATGTTCCTGAAGCAGCCATTCGCAAAAACCTCGACATAGTGGAAAATCCTCAAGAGTAAGCGCATGAACATGTTGCATATGAAATGGGTATAACTGAGCTTCTCGTAATGTCTGCCACACAACAGGATGCAAAATATTTACTTGTTGTGTGATACTTCTGGTGCTACAATGCGGATCATCTTCAACGAGATCTAAAATCGTCTCCTCAACATTTAAGATTCTTAGTGATCACCCTGGGCCACCGTCACGACCTCGACGTGATTGTACTTCACCGGTATCCAAACTTGACAAACTCTGTGGGCATTTTCGTTTGCTTCGCCATAAATTATGAGTATAGGGATCATAATATTCGCGATAAATAAATGTGCCAAAAAGAAAACTTGGAAATGCGGCTATTAAATGTACTTTCAAAAAAAAGCACAGCAATCACTACGACAATGTATTACAAACTGACTTTCAAATATAATCCGGCTTGATAAGAAACCTACAAACTCGTAAAAAGCGTTACAGAACTTTTTGTAAGCACTCACCGCGATAAAATACCCATATATCAGCAGTTCCAAAACAGTTTTAAACACCTTTGTAATCAGCTTTTTTCTCTATGACCTTAAACTTCCGATACAAGTTTGTGACATCAGTTAAATCAGTTTTTGCTCCTTTTTCACCCCTTTAAATTTTTGACATAAGTTCATTAACACCCTGATATTATAGTCAGTGGTGCTCCACAAAAAAAAATGTCAACTGAGTATTTACAGATGTAACACCTAGTTATATTTCTCTGTGCAGGATTACTCTTGCACAGTTTAACTATTAAAATATTATATAAAAAAATGTCTATAACTTCAATACTGTGACCGTAATTACTTAACAGAATTATAACTAGTTTGTACCTACTAAATAAAAAGTTATTTTGAACTATTTCTTACCTGGAGAAACGGCTGTGCCTCCAGTAGCCTCACCTTCACTACCTCCAGATAAGGCATGAATCGTTGACTCAGAAAGCGTGCTTTTTTCAGTTAAACCCGACGCTGATGTGTTATCACTGTGGGTATCTGAACAAACACTTTGGGAACATTCGACATCTGAATCATTAGATACCAAATCTAAAATAATAAATGAAAATTGAAAGGCAAATATTGTATATTTGCGTATTTCTATGTTCCCAACTCATTTTTGAACAGTTAGGATATTCTTAACAAAAAATATAGCTCAAAAACATATGTATTTTTTAATTTTATTTTTTATTTAACCCGTAACAAACCTATGCACCTCAAATATGGCATACAAATATATCTGTCACAACAATTTTTTTTTTAGTTTGCTACCTTATACCTGGATTATTCAATTACACAAAATTAATAGTTTTTTGTTTAACTAGACAGTAAAGTACAAGATTTAATGCCGCAGCTGGTATTTAATATTATATTATTATTAAAGTAGCCAAGGCATTAATTCTATTACTGCCAAGTTAGACACATTATTTTTTCGCCGATCAATATTAATTTTATCATACTAGCAAACAAAGCTATTTATTTTATATTGTTAAGATTGTATGATACTTCTTTCATGAACAATAATAATTTCATCAGGTCGAATGTTGTTGCTATGAGACGAGCGTTATTAAGTAAATAACAGGTACACAGTAATCGCAATATTGTTCCTATTTAAATCCATAAAAATAACTATTATTTGAGATGGAAGAATTCACATTAACTCTGCCAGAAACTATTTAAGCAAACCCAAACATACTTATAAATCTGACTATCAGTTGTAGAGAGTAAAAGCAAAAAAAGAAAGATCGTATGAACCATTGTCCTAAATAATTTAGTTTTCGAGATACAGTGTGTTAATTTTGCCTAACCAGAAATATATCACATATCGACCCTTTGACAATATTTTGAAGCAAAGGGTTGTTTATTCAATTTTTTTTTCTCTTCAGCGTGGCAGAAAAAAAACCAAATAAAAAGGTAAATGAAAATGCCACAAATAGATGATCATAAACAATTAAACATTTTCAGAAATATGTGCATAAGTGTTACATATTTCAAAAACTTTAACACCCTGTATCTCAACAAATAAGCATTCGATATACAGCACTTGCTTATAAAACCATTGAAATAAGCTCTTTAAGGCACAATGTTATACAAACTCTTATTTGTAGTCGAAGAATATGTACAATTTTGTAAGTGAAGTATTGCAACACACAGAGATATGTTATTTGTGCCGTTGTAGCGTCAATTTATCAATATTAATAAGACCTGTAAAGTCTATTAAAAAAATTTAAATGTGTAAGGAAAAAATTAATTAAATTTACCTGTATCTTGAACGGGTAGTTCAAGTTGATGATCTGACATTTTTAACATTAAATATTTGTGGTGAAGTTTTTAAAATGCATTACATTATCAACTTTGTTATTTGTCACCTGATAGGACGATTGGTCATCGATTTATCGCGATGAGAAGATGAAAACACCCTTTTCGTTTGACATCATCGATGCACTTTAAAATGTTTTGTTTGATATCGAGTTTGACGTTTGTCACCCGATAACCTATGATGACGTCTTCTTCTTCTAAAATATATTTTCAAGGTCAACTAGCTTACTTTCGCGAACTACCTACTGAATTGAACAGATCCGCACAAACTTTGGTTATTTAACGGTGTAAATTTTAAAAATGTATGCTATCAAATTTGCCACAATAAAAATTTAGCTACAGTTTACTGTGTATTATTATTTCAGTAGACATACAATGTAACCTTTTATGGTTCCAACTTTCCATTTCCATGATGACTACTTATTTTTCTGTGTCCCAGCACGGTAGAAGAAAGAAAATTATGCTGGAATATCGTTAGGAATATCAGTGAGCATTTTAAAAATAGTGTCGTGGCTTGGTACTATAAAAAAGAGAGCTTTGAAACATATATCTCAATTATTTAATAGTAGGATTTATTGACAATAAAATTTATTTAACACATGGTTATTTTCAAGGACAACGGAGAATCTTTTTTTATCTATAGAACAGGTGACAGTATTTGATTGCAATGTAATACGTCAATACAAGTCTGAACTTAAGTAAGAATCGTATTCGTTGTCCCTATTTTTAGTTTTAAATATAACAAATTAATTGTAGAAATTTACGTTCAAATTCCATATGAACCAATTTTTACAATAATGTTTTTAAGAATCAAATCTTTACTTTGGCCATAAATTTTACATTTTAGTTTTAAATAGTGTATCATTGTTACTTATAGCTTCAGCTGTGTTTAAAATTTCTAACTTTGAAATTGTATCGGTTTTTTTTCGAGTGTCTGATACGTTAACAAAAAAGGTCTTCTGTCTTTATCACTCCTATTGCGGACTCTCCTCTTGATCCTCACATCTTGCAAATGCAAATTGATAAAATTTAAAATTTTCTCTTTAATTTAATGCACACACATATACACTGTTAATATATACATAATTTTCTTATTCTTAGTGTTTTATTTATTGTTTTATCGATACAGCGATAAAATTGAAACTAATTAATGTTTACATAAATAAAAAGTAAGGTAGGTCGATATTTAAATACTTAATCGATACTATGTTTACATTAGAAATATGCATACATTCTGATTTTAGCAACTCATAATTATTATGAAACACTTAGACATTATTCCTTAATCGAAAAAAGATGTAAAAGTAACACATATTTTCGAAAATTTTCGAAAAACGCAATGGCTCATTTTATCCAGTAGCACGGTGTTGTAAAAGAGTCGCCAAATATATCGTTAATAGCACTAAATGTGGAGACAAACCCTCCTACTATTCCAATTATTATGAGTTCCCAAATGTAGACTCTTTCGTAAAGAGGTATAAACCTGAAAATAAATTCATGTGGATTACTTATATTCTCTACAAGTAGGTAAATTATAACCTTTTTTCCCAGTTGGGGCTAATCTTATCACATAATTTCATATAAAATAGCGGTGGAAACACAAACGTCAACAGGGTTATGGTGGATCCTCCGACTAATGAAAGAATTTTTCCAAACTGTGGAACTGATTCTCCTACTATTATCATCAGCAATACGATAATTGTTCTTATAAGACACCTCTTCCAATTAAAATCTAAAATGTAAATGTTTGATAAATTGTATTATTCAAATGAATGTGGCAATATTCGAGGTAATACCCTAATCTACAGAGAAACGTTTGTTGTCTAACATTTTCCGGGTGACTGTGCGAATTTTTGTGGCAATTTTAGTTTTGAAATAACCCCAGAGAAGATAATCCATCGGAGTTAAATCCGGTGATCTTGCCGGCTATTCAGTATGTATCCGTCTATCAGTCCATCTATTAGGAAATATTTCCTCGAAATATTCTGGGATCGGGCGAATCAGGATCTTCTGCTTTAGAAAACAATACTGATAAAACTAGATTGGAAGTCCAGGTACTAGCTTTGCTCCTCTGATGCATTAGAATTAGTTTCCAATAGTCAGATGCATTTGCTTCTCAAACAATGAATTTTGAACCTTATGACCCTTATGTAAGTATTATATCGGTATGCGCATGCGTCTGACAGTTGGGAACTGTTTTGAACTGTTGTAGAAACAAAGCTATTAATCATTATCCAACATTCCGTCCCAGAAGTATTTTTCAATGATTGGATTACCTGCTACTATCCCAAACTACACGTTAACCTTTTAGGGATGTTGTGTCGTTTTCGCTTCCATCATCCAATGCCCAATAACAGCAATTTTGCTTATTGCTGGTACCATTTAAGCAAATGTTGCACCATCAGAAAAAAATATTTTTTCAATGAATTCAGGATTTGCAATGGGGATTTCCATCACTGTCTCACAAAATTGCGCTCATCGATCAAAATCATCGTCAGAGAGTTCTTCCACCAAATGCGCTTTGTACTGGTGAAATTTTATCTTACGAAGAACTCTGGAAACTCTATTTTTTTGAGGTATTAATACTTGAAGCGACTCCCACAAAGGTTGAATGTGGATTTTCCTGCATCATTAACAAGGCATCTAACTGTATGTCTTCATCTAAAGCCACGCGTCTCGTACATCTCCAAGAAGCCGAAATTTTTTCTCAATTCGACTACCGTTGATTGCAATATTGGAGGACGGTTTGGATGGATTTTTAAAGCTGGGCTTGCTAGCGTATGAGGTTTGAGGAGTCGAGAGATTGAAAATTGCATTTCTAAATGATAATTTAAAAATTACCATCGACGTATCCGAGCTTTTTCTGAAATATATTCCTCTACGATTTTATAAAACTTATTCGTTACTATAAATAAATATGTATTGCAATGTATTTATTTTTATTGTATTACCTTTGGGGATGTCGAATGTTTCCTCCACATCCTGACAAACTGGATTCATAACTATTAAGAAGGCGAACACTAAATGAATTGCCATTAGTATATTTCCTATGTGAACCAAGAGGCTTGCAGACAGTGATAATGTTACGTTAGCACTAACTTCTTCACCATACACAAAGAATCCTCCAACTGTGATGGGGACGTAAAGAATCATTATAACTGTAAAATATGTCTATAGAAAATCACTAGTTTCAAACAATACTGATTTTACTTACTGATAAAGGCGATCGTGACACTTGATGAGAACTGTTTTTTGTTTCGCATGTCATTCTGAATGGTGGGGAACGTCGAGGCACCTCCAAAGGCAAATAGTAGAGTCCCAAAAGATAAAAAGAAGTCGTGGAAGCCATGGATGTTATGTTTTACCGTCCTAATGTTATCTCTTGCATCCAAGGCAATTTGAATAGTGAATAGAATGCAAGCTATTATTGAAGACAAAATAGCGCCCCATCCCACTAGGCTAAAAAAATATTACAAGTAAAAAAGCAATATGTAGAGGCAATAACTATATCATCATCGTGAAATCGTGAAGGTTCTTAATCAGATAACTATAGAGAAAACATAATCTTTGGAGCTAATATCAAAAATATTGGGTTGGGGAATAAGTAATGTCATTTTTTTTCAAATTTAAAATATTTTTAAGGTTGTATTTTCTATCGTTATTTATGACCTCCTCCCAACGTTCAACAAGTTTCTCGATAGAAATATCTGTAGAAATTCTCCGGTTTTGACTCGAAAAACTCATCCAACCAAGATGTTAACTCTGTCGTTGTTAAAGGAAACACCGCATCAAAAGTTTGACAAAGAGCAGAAGAGGTGAAAATCAGAAGACGCTAGATCGGGAGAATAAGGCGGGTGGGGCAGAACTTCCCAATTCAACTCCCGAATGTTCATTTTCGTCACATTGGCTACATGTGATTGCGCACTGTCATGTTTGATTTATTGGTAAGAGTTCGTAATAAAAAATCCTTTTCCGTTCCCACCAGATGCATAACATTGTTTTTGGAGGATTTAGTCTTGTTCGCGGAGTTGCTTGTTATTTGGGGCTTAACCCATTCTTTCCGCTGTTTCAAGTTCACATACAGACACCAATTTTCGTCATCAGTGACAATACGATGAAGAAAACGTTCCTTAAGACCACATATTGAACGATGACGACAGAGTAAACCAGCGCAATTTCGGAGCGTTGATTCGTAAAAATTGACATTACTTATTCCCCAATCCATTAAAAAGAACAGAATTGAATAACTGTGAGATCATTATTTAGCAATATCTGTTTCAGAAATTTGAAAATTTGGTTAATAAGACCAACGTAACTGAAATATCGACTTTCGCCTTATTTTTAATGTTTTTTAAATCTTTTTACTTTTTAAAGTAGTGTCTCTACTTCGACAGCAAATGGTTTTCATGATTTTGACATATAGAGACTCTCTAAAGGTACGTTTGATACGTACGTATGACTGAAGAGATTTAATTTATCAATTTTGAAGAATATGTAGTTTAGACATTGGATGACCATAAATATTTACCAAATATTTAATAATTATTAATCAGGTTGACTTCCAAGCGAGTGATTTTATAAATAAAGTTTTGAATTAAATGATATATCCATGTATAGTTTTCTTACATCAATCAATCTGTAACTATATCTAAATTCTCTTTTTCGTATATGAATATAATATTGTCAGTAAATCAGAATTTTTTTATTATCATGGTTAGTAATGTATCTTACTTATATTAATTTACCACTGCTCATATATGTTCTGTTGATTCTGTTGAATTTTTAGATACACGTTTATAAATGAGATTAATTTTGTTCCACACTGTAAAATTTTTCCAAATTCTTTTAAAATAAATACTGGATTACAACAATTTATAAATATAAATAATTTAGCCTTTTATTTTATACCATGTTTTAATTTGTTAAATTACAGTGACTAACTCACCTGAACTCCTTGGGAGAACCTAGCCACATCGGTAAAATCACACATAATGCTATGACAAAAAAATATGAACAGGAACTGACATTAGACAGAACGTTTCCGATGAGAGCTTGTATTATTTGCGAGGATAATAAAAGATAGACAGTTCCAGCTCCAAAAAGAGTAAATCGTATGCAATGTGAAACCAGTGAGCTGCCAAAAACACATAATTATTCAATATAATGGAAAAGAAGAAAAAGTTATGTTGTTATTCTCGTGACTACTTTATCTAAATGATTCTTCTAGATAAAGTATAATTATCTTCTATTTTTCTAGATAACAATCTAAAATCAGCCATACCAGTAGTATATTAAAATGAAATATTTTTATTGTCTTTTTTTTAACTAAAGAATAATTTAGATTATAGATAATTTTATTGGATAATTTTCTAGCAAAAAAAATTAATTTTTCTGTATAACTTTATTCTATAAATTGATAACTGATAACTGATGTTTTGTTTTTAATTTTCTGTCAGAGATTACTGTTTACTATACTAGAGCTTAAAAGTACAAACAATGAATTTATAGACATATATTCATATCTCTTATATGGGTCAAGAGTGTCAAATGAATATTTAGCCTTCGTTGAGTTTGATAACATTGAGATAACATACTTTTATTTTTTTTAGGTGTTTTTCCATACCTAACAAATTAAAAATATGATGATAAATAAGTTCATAGACAACCAGAAGGGTTTATACTTATATTTATTATTAATATTTATTTTCCTTTTTTTGAACGAAATCGCTAATAAATAAAAAAATAATAAATAACAAAACTGCATTTAGTTTAATAAACTTTTTTATACCTATTAATATATTTTTCTAATTAATTGAAGGTTTATGCTACACTGAAAGGAGAACGAATCTTAAAATTTTTTTCTAATGTAGCAGAAAGGCCTAATTAAAGAAAATAGTAACAAAAATACAATGTGTGTATTTGTATGATAGTATTACCTTTTAAATGTACGTCAGTCTTTTATCACAAAACTTACCTACCAAACTTGCCAACAGCCCTTAAGGCAATAACAGAATACGGATTTCTGGTGTCAATTCTATGTTCCGGATATCGCTGCTCTATTATATTCCAACAATTTCCCAATCTTACTCCTCCATATGCTGCATTTATGCAAAAAAATACGAGGAGTAGAATGCCTATGTAACCTACAAACAGTTACGTATATACAGGGTGGAAATAAAACGTTTTGCCAAATTTTAATGACGGACTCTCTCACAAATTAAAGAAAAAAGATCTTATGAATATGGAAAATGCTTCGTTTGCAATATACATGATGTTTAAAATTAATAAATATGTGGTTTATGTCCAGTGCAAAAAACATTTTAGGAACGCCAGGTAAAAAATATCCAATTGCATCCATAAATAACGTAGTTGCCAATATTAATAAATAATAACACAAATATTAATATTCATATTCCGAAAACCGAAAGAGATATTTCAGGAGATATTAACAAATTATTTATTACGACAAAAAATACTCTGTTTTCCAAAACCCTGTATAGTATTAAGTAGATACTTTCCTCTTACCTGTATTAACTACAGCCCTTGGTAACGCCAACACACCACTTCCAGCCATTTCCCCAGCAATGAAGAGAGTTGCAGAAAATAAACTTAAACCCTTAACACTTTCCGTATCTTTTTCGTTAGCCTGTAAACGACATTCAAAGCAAATATATACCTACGATCTTCTTACATTTTTATAACACGATTACCTTTTCAACATTTTGACTTTTCGCACTTTTTAAAGTGCCTTCCAAAGCGCCGTAGCTGTAACTCATCCCAGTTGGTGGATTCGTAAAGTCAAATATATGCCACAGACTAAACCGTCTAGCACATAAATAGTATGGAGCACGTGCATCTTTATCACACTTTTATCGTTTTAAAGAAAACTCTTGTTACCACACGAACACAGACAGTACACTTAGATAACATTTATCTTGTATTTGAGGATGAATAACTGTTTCCATTGCTCGCATACAAACGAATGTGTTATTTTTGAATTGACTATAAACTTGATGGTCGTGTGCGTGCAAACAGGTATATATCCTTCTCAAAAAAAAAGAAGGAAGTCAATCCTGTTGTAACAGATTAAATATGTATAAACGCATGCAATGTACATATTTCGGAAAAATAGCAATGGGATTTCTATTTTTATCCCAAAAACTGCTAAGTACTGAAAAGAAATAATACAAATGTCTCCTAAATATATGAAGACATTTTTTTCAAATTTGGCACAGAACCAATGCTACTGAATAGACATATTTTAAAGTGACTACCTATAAAATCCATTGACGATTGGGTAATGTAAGGGTAACCGCCATTTGTTTCCTCCTGCATTTTTTATACTCCATATTTTGATGGTTTGTAAAATATCAGTTGACAGATACTTAATTTGCTCAGACTAACGAGATTACGGTTAATCTTTGTTTACAGAGTATCTTACTCTTTTGTTTTCAAATGATCTGCAAATAGGATGCGTGTTTCTTTTTTCTTCGTGTTTAGTTTCCGGTATATCCCGTTTCAGATTCCAACAATACACAGCTAACATATTTACTTTCTATCTTCCTTGATATCGCTTTTTCATTTCTTTGAAGTCCTGATGGAGCCGTTTGACCTGTTTTTCACCTGATGGAACCTTTCACCCTGTTCTTCACCATGTCCTTCACCCCTATTCTTCACCCTAAATATAGATTTTACCAGATACTGGCCGGTCATGGACAAATTGGATATAGTTTCGTTTTTAGCTGCTCAAAATACCTAGGGAATGATATGTCCGATATTATGTAGAGCAAAATCAATTATGGAGCAATTTTGGTGTCCGTTTTCAACCCTAAATATAGATTTCATAAGTTGCTGCCCGATCGTGCATAAATTCTGACTACTGACAACAAATACGGTACTATTAAATGTGTAGTTATTGATAATTTCAACAAACTTTATTATGAGTAGAGGGAACATTTAAAACAAAAAAAAACTATTAAGTCTTTGTCTAGTTATGCTTCACTCGAGTAGAATAGGCCTTTAAGGTGACTTCAAAGGTAAACATCACAAGGATTAAGATCATGAGAACGTGGTGGTCAAGTAATAGGCGAATTTTGGTTACGATTTATCCATCTTCCAGGAAAATTTTGATGCAGGATCCATCAAAGACTGGTTTGCTGGGGCATGCTTGAGGTACATCATTTTCCTTACTTTCAATGGAATTTCATACAAAATAAACTGTTTTCTAAAAAATTGAGATAATCTCGTAAGCGACACGGCATAATATGAGATCCTACAAGGTAATGTCCTATCATAAATATGCATATATTCAGACTGAATGTGTGCTGCTGATGGAACTCGTGCGTATCATGAGGATTTTCATCGCTCCAGGTTATGCATATTATAGGTACCAAAAATACCAATTCTTGTAAGAGTTACCTCATCAGAAAACAATACAATGTTATAGAGATTGTGATGTATGTTTAACATTTTCAACATTCTTCTGCAAAAAGCAACTTTTCTGCGGAAGTTTTGAGGCAGCAACTGTTGTATAACTTTTAGGATATGATACGGCGATAATTATTGCTCTCATATGACTCGCCACAATACTGACTGTAATATATTACCTTGTAGGTGTTGGGAAATTTTTCTTGTGGAAACTGTAGGATTTTCCTTAATAATAATTAAAACAATTTATTTATTGACATTTATCCGACCAGAATAATGATGTATGAAGAATCTATTTTGACCTAGATATCTCTTGTTATATTTATAAATTAAAAAGAGGTGGTCCATCGCCACAGAAATTACTCTAAATGACGATTGCTATATTGAAGTTCGAATCAAGTATAATAATGTTAAAAAAAAAACAAAATCAAAGTGTAAATTTTTGAGAAATATTAATTTTAAGTTCGCAAAAAAACCTCTTACCATACTCACCTACATGCATAGTACTGATTTTTTTTTGTATTGAAAACTGTAACGTATTGTAGCAATTATGTAAACAACAAAAGAAATTATTAGACATTGCTGTTATAAACCCATTTTTATTTTGTAGGAAAAAAGTCTTATTTTGACCTCAAAATAAGCCCCTAAATTCTTTGTACTGAATTTTGAATCACCCTGTATAATAAATAATAATATAAATTACGGTTTGTACTTATTTATTTTTTATATTATTGTGGCAGAAATTATACATTATACATTATACATTAAATTATTACGTTCACCATATCTTCACTTGTTATATAAAACAACAAAACCTCTCCACATTGCTATGAGTAAATGTAAGGGTAAAAACGTTAAACAATGTCCTTTTCACTTACGCTTCAATTAAACACTGTCAATAATTTCAATAGCAATTTGCCGAAAAAATAGAAGACAAGTAGGTAAAATCCATACACGCATATTACATGGACTATGTACAATCTGAAAAAGAAAGGTATATTGAGATTAATCAAAAGTTTAAGTTTCAGTATTAGGATGAAAGTAAATTAATGTCAAAGAATGACAATGTAGGAGATAAGTAATTGATTTGAAATTAAGATGACAATTAGATGCAAAATGACAGTTTAAAGTAAAATATAAATTTTGATGAAATATCAATCTAAATTAATAAAAGTGATCATAAAATAAGGGTATATAGCAAAATAAGGATTAAGTAATATTGCAAAGGTTAAATTGGAAATGTAAAATTAAAAAGTAATCTGATTGGTTAAAAAGGATAAGTTAAGAAAAAATTGTATTTAAACATAAGAACGCAGTGCAGTGGTAATCAAGGAGACAGAAAAAATAAATAAATAAAAAATAAATAAGACAGGAGAGAGGAGATATAATTTTCAAAACAGAAAAAGAAGATTGTATAAGAAAAAGTTAAGTAAGTTAAAGAAGACGAAAGGAAAAGAACACGAAGCTGATAGTGAAAATCAGTTGCTGAGAAAAAGAAAGAAAATTTTCTTAAGGAGTAAGGAGAATACAAAATTGTCGTTTATCGTTCAGGAAACTATAAAGGAACGAAGATCACAACAGAGAAAATTAAAATTAGAGAAAAATTGTGTTTGAAGAAAGAATAAGGGTGAACACGAAGTTTGACAGATAACTAAAGAGTAATAATCAAATAGTCGTATTAGTAAAATTATTTGAATTGTCGTAGCTAGGAATAAAGGAGATAAGGAGTAGGAGCTATTAAGGCGAGTTAGGAATTTGCAACCAGCAGAGCGATACAGGAGACAGAGAAAGGAACAAATTGACAAAAAGGAGATAGTGAGTGGACGAAAAGAAGGAAAAAGACAGGAGAGAAATAGCAGAAAGAAAATTACTACTTAAAAATCGTGGATATTAAAGGAAAGAAAGGACAATAGATATGTATGTATAGGTAGGTAATAAGTAAATGTTAGTTTGTAGAGTAGAAATAAGTTATCGCAGGATAAATAGGGATATTTTAAAAAAAAATAAATTTATAATTTATTATGTCAATATAAAAATTTAAACACAGATTACAAAAATATTATTTAATATTTTTTAACAAAGTTAATTACAAGTAAAACCTATTTTGTGAACCGCCTGCTGAGATAAGACCTCATATTCTATTAAATTTGATGTCTATTATTTATACAGAATTGACATAGGTAATCTAATTGTCATTAAAATTATCAAACATGAGATAGAATCCCATTTTAAATCAAGAATACTTGATAAAAAAAATAACTTTTTAATTTACAATTTATATTTCAAAAAACAATTGAGTGATAACAAATAAAAAGCTAGCCTGGTAAGTAATAAAAATATATTTTCTAAAAGTAATATTCAAAATTTATAATATTTCCACTGACGCTCAACATTACATATTACATAGAACTACACAAACATTAAAAACTAATTATTTTAAATGGAACATCTCAATATATTAATATTTGTAATTAAATAGTATCTAAAAAGCTGTTTTATAGTGTGTACTTGGCCACAGAAGAATCTTATGTGTCATTTTCTCGTCCTTTTCCTACCATGAACACTTTTGTTGACGTTTTCTTTCAGTAAAATCGAGTTTCATAATTCTCGTTATTTTATGACTTTGCATAATTGTTATTTACAATAACAAACCATTAAGTATGAGAAAAAACTACACAAAATTTATTTTTTACACTTCTTTAGCATAGCTATACATTGTAATTGGGTCGCTGAATCCAAATCCACCTTTAGAATTCATACAGCATGTCATTTTTTTCTAACCTCAAAAAAATCGACCAAAAATCGAGGTTTGCAAGAAATTAATAGAATCGTGAAAAATTTGGTACGTAGGGGTTTCAGATTAATGTTATATTGTATCCGTGCCGATTTCTAGGTTCGCTAATCACGAATTTGAATTCATTATTGCAAAATTCAACATGGCGCATTCAATAAGGCGAACAAGATTTTCGAAAATTCAACAGATTAATTCCGAATTGGATCCTGGGGTGTTTTGCGGGTTGCTGATCACGAATACGAACTCAGAATGGCAAATTCAACATGGCGGATCCAATATGGCGGACCAGGATCCAATATGGTTGATTTTGTGGATGAATGTATGCATCTTCAGATGGATGGCTTTTTTAAAGCAGGAATAGATAGACCTATGAATGCATGGATCTTTGGATATTAATATAACCTGTCCCACTAAATCCTACATCCTAATTCATTTATGAAGGCTCAGTGTTAATGAATTAGAGAGAATTGATCCAACGCATTAGAGTAAGTATTTGAAATGTTTTCAACAAAATATTTGTTATTTTATACAAGTTTATTCAAATAATTCAAAATATTATTTTTAATCACTATCACTTAGCATTCATTCGATTTACTGAATAAGTGCTTGAAAACGATGTACTCACATTTTTTGTTTTTGGCGGCATCGGGGAAGGGATGACAAATCCTCTTTCAAGCAGTACTGACGTGTACCTAGGAGTCCATTAATCAAATACTCCTTTAAAGAATACTTGCGAAATTCTGATATGGTAAATATTTTTTTATCCTCCTCGGTTAAGTAGTTGTTGAGAGCTAAAAATTTTTCACTTTTGAAGATCCATTCTTTAGTCGCGAAAAATTCCAGCAGGTTTAAGCCGTCGTAGATTTTCTTCTGTATTCTCATCATACTGTAAATATACTAAGAGTTAGAGGTTACCTAAACAGCCTATACGGCTGCTTGGTTGGTCTTTGTCAAGAGTGATAGATTATTTTAGAAATACAAGATATGTCTTTGAATAGAAAATGTCAAGTATGTATTTTTTGAGCTCATTTGATCTCTTACCTTCTTAGAAAAAAAAATTTATCATTCCTATAAACGTTTTTCTTATTTTAAGCCAAATTCTCAAAACATGAGAACAAAACTTTCGATCACCCTACATTTCAATACATACAAAGTGAAATATTTCACGTTTTGACCCGAAATTAATGACAGATATCGTAATTTTACAACAGTTAAAAAACAATCTGTATTAATAATTAATTAATAATAACACTGTCTTCGTACTACAAAATCGATACATTTTATTTTATTTATTTAAAAACTGGAAAACGATTCTTGAAATTTACTAAATGTTTCACAATAATAGTTGTTTACATTTTTTCCGTAGAACAAGTCTGCCGCGCGTACACGTGGTATACATCAGATGTGTAGCGTTAGCTTATGCGCTGTTGTCATGTTGTGATGAAACTCCCCAATATACATCTATATATACATCTCATTAATTGACTTTTGTGCATAGGTAAGTTGATATAAAATATTTTGAACTAAGCAATATCTAATCTTAAAACTGCTGCAAATGATACGACCACTAGCCAAATGCTATGCAATTATGCAATGCAACAAATGCAATGTTGTATACAGGGTGTTAAAAAAATAGTGTAAAATATTTCAGGAGGTAATAGTATGAACCAAAATAAGCAGAAAAGTCTTAATAAACATAGGACCAAAATAACGGTTGCGGGGATATGGACCACTATCCGTTTTTCAAACATTTTATTTTTAACAAACAAAAAACAAAGTTACAGAAGATGTTCAAAGTGCCGTCCGTTCATTTCCAAGCAGGCACGACATCTTCGTCTCAATGATATTCGAACTCTTTCGAAAACACCCTCCTTGGTTTGGATTTCTTGACACTTTTGATTAATCCGTAGCTGCAGCTCTTCCAGGCTATTTACAGGAGTACCATACACTAATGTCTTCAAATATCCCCAAACAAAGAAATCTAGAGGGTTCAGATCAGGCGATCTTGGAGGCCATAAAACAGGTCCGGCCCTTCCTACCCATCTATGTGGAAAAGTTTGGTGTAAATGCTCTCTAACGGCCATGGAAAAATGAGCTGGAGCACCATCATGCTGGAACCACATTTGTTGCCTCTGAAACGTGCTTGGATGATCATTTATTGGATTTAATGCCAGTACTCGTTGCACATGGTATGGATAAAGCAGTTGCTCGTGAAGGATTCTCCAAACAAGAGGACCACTAATTCCTACCTCGGCTGATATTCTCCGCATACTCGTACCTGGATTCTGCTCTACCAGTGCTAGAATTTCTTCTTCTGCTCTAGGAGTGGATACCGACCTTGGTCTTCCGGAAAAATGGCACTGTTTGCTCAAGGAACCGGTATCACGCAATCTTTGGTGAATTCTTCCAAACATGCGTTGTGAAGGAATCTGGCGATTTGGATAAACGTCAACATAAAGACGTCGCGCTTCGGTGGCGTTTCCATTAGCACGACCATACATGAAATGCATGTCTGTTAATTCTGCGTTAGAGTAACCAGCCATAGCGAAAGAAAACTTGTGCACTGAGAACAACTGTCAAATACGTACTGTTTATTTCACTAAACATCAATAAGAAAATACACAACGTTTTTGCAAAATAAAAAAAGGGGCTAAAAAACATAAAACATACCATATCTCCGCAACCGTTACTTTGCGGACCCATGTTTATTGAGACTTTTCTGCTTATTTTGGTTCATACTATTACCTCCTTAAATATTTTACACTATTTTTTTAACACCCTGTAGAGTTCGGTAGGTCAAAATTGCCAACATGTGTAGATTTTCTGGAATTTACATATCCGTCAAGTGTAAGCCAATGCTGTATAGTGTGGGTGGTGCATATCGATACATTTGAAAGGATGTCTTGTCAATTATTCACTAAAGCTATACAAATGGCACACTAACAAAATATACACCGGATCGGTTGCAACGACCATAGCAACAAGGTTTATTTCTACAAACGATCTTAAACGAAGGGTACGTATTTAAAATTTCCTAAAGAATTTAGGAAGTTCGTCGCCCTTGTATTTATATTTTTGTAGTATTTTTACCTACTGCTTTATTTAAAAAATGAAAATTTACCACATGCCGGATTCTATAACCAAGTTTATTGTATCTTTCACCTGTCGCTTTTTTGTTCTAATTCGTCATAATTTTATTCGCAAATGTTTTCAGCCTGCTGTCAACTCATATTGTGGAGGAAAACAAGTTTCTAAAGCAGTTTTTAGTAACTACAATAATAAGTAAATAAAACTTAAAATAAAGATACTTACAATCTTTTTTGTCCACAAACAAACATTATCAAATCTATGAGAAGAGCGGGTAACCAATGAAAAAGAATGCTGTAAATGTTATGGACCAACTTGGACGACCTAATGTCGCCGTCAGGGTACCAAATTTGCATCTCAAATGGATATTCGTAATAAATTGATCTTCCCATGTTCAATATCTCTTGATATGTAAGGGGCATTACGGCGTCCTGTGTCAGATTATACACAGGGACTTCTTTAGACCTGTTGAAGTTACATTAACAATATAGGTACTTATAAACAGAAATAAATAAATAATAATGGTTCATATCGTAGCATGAACTAGTACCATGGGCATACGCAGAAAATTTGCCAAAGGCAATGGTATATACAGGGTGTCCCGGAAATGGTGGGCAGTCTCTCGGATATGAATAGATAATGAGAAAATAATGTCACAAGTTCATATAAAATTTTGTCCTCCGGGCTCACCCTCAAGAGTTATTAGCTCTTGAAGTTGAGAATTAAAAATGTTTTTTTTTGCTGTAACTTGTATTTTTCCATAAATTTTGAAAATTTTTTGGCTGGATCTATAATATTTGAAGCTGCTTTGGATGATAATATGAAATCCTCGATAATAATTATGGGGGCCCGGGGGCAAAGAACCCCCCACCAAAACTTCTAGAAAAAAAATTTTTGTTCCACTATACCCCAAATTTTCCATCATTTTATAAAAATTTATGGTATTTTATGTAAAAAAGGTATACTTGTTGAATATCCATAAAATATATATTTTTTGAGATAAACCCGTTTAAAGAGGAAGGTACCATTTAATTTGAGACATTTTATTTAATTGAAACATAGATTTAATCGTGGTTGGCTTTGACATGTCAGAGTATGCCAAAGGCAATTAAATTGTCAAACTTGGCGTAGAAGTTATGTTTAAGAAAAGGGTTGGGCACCCCCTCCACTCCGCCACTGTACAAGTTTTTGAACATTCTTATCCCTTGTTTTATGTCCCTTAATTAATAGACATTATCCCCCAAACATGAAAAAAATCGAAGCATTCGTTTATAAGTTATAATGAAAATTCGAGAAAAAAAAATTATATTCAACACCCTGTATCTCAGAAACGAAGCCTTCTACGACATATTATGTTTATAGGAACTTTTCTTTTTAAAACATGTGTTCTATCTCCACCTATTTTTTTACAACGTAATCGTGGAATGCATTATATTCGACGCAGAAGAGTCCAACTTACACAACGAGAGCGCAATCACTCCGATAAGATCACCTTTGTGCCCAGCGCTCTAAACCGAACGTTTTTTACAATTTGAAAATATACTCGTATACACTACACACTGTTAGATTATACATATTTTTTTAATATCTAGTGTTACATTTTCGGTACCAATATAAAGTGATTAGGACATGTTTGCGAGGTCTATTTGTTTTGATATTTTATTTGAATTTTTAGTCAGCGATTTTTTAGAAATTCACTGACGATTGTAAAAAATTACATTGTATCAAAATTATCGATTAAATCCTAAACCTAAAGTAATGGAACCCACCTAGTTTCTGCTTTTCCAACCATTTGTGCGACCACGATAGTAGTGTTAATAGCAAAATCCACAGGTATAAATTGCCCCCTGTTTCCACCATTGCAATACATTGATCTGATCACGCCTTTACCAGCGCCAACCAGAAGACCCACAGGGCCGTTAAGGCTATCGACCCATCCAGGGACTGGCTCGTCAACAGCAGGTATCACTAGAAAGAATTACAATTTTCTTTTCCAGTTTCAATTCATGTCTACGCAATCGGTTCTATCAGTTGTCTATGTTGATATTACAGAAGCGATACATTTCTAAAATTGCATTTTAAGATTTTGAAAGTTATAATTAGATTACTACGAAGATGACGCTGTTGGAAATTTGTGAGCTTGGTCATTGTTATTCGTTCAACATGAAGGTCCCACACATCCGAAGGAAAGCCTTGCGGTTAAATTTTGAACATTTTCCAGTAACTTTTGATCAAGGAGGAGATTGAAGAACCACACTAGACTGGCATATTCAATAAATTGATCGCACATAACTGGAGAAGTTTCGAAAGACAAGTTAGAGAAAGTTTTACTAAATAAAAATTGTATAGTATTTGCTCTTTAGTACTCTGAGCTTGTATGGTCTGACCATGACAGTTTAGAGTTAATTCAGACTCCTGAACGAGTTGACACTGTCCATTCCAACTATTTGATAGAGAGTTGTTCTTGGCAAGACACAGCTCTACACATTTAGAATTAGGTCACTTGCACCAACAGGTGCTAATGGAAATGCTAACTAGACATTGGTTTCTAGAGTAAATGAGAAAGAGTAAAAGGCTCAATACAGAATCTTGAGGAATTCCTCTAAAAACAAGTCTATCTCGGATAGAAATCGCCCACTCTGAATTTGAAAAATCTGTCAGATAAAAGGTTCCTAATCCATATTAACAAATTACCTTAAAAACTAAGAAGTATTCAAAAAGAATTATTACACAAATGTTGTTACTTTTGATCAGTTAAATATGTGGTAATTATTTCTATCGTTAATATTTTTTATTTAGGAGCAAATCAAATACGTAAATTCTTTATAGTTACACGTATTACTAATATATTTATACATAATTACATTAGTTAATATAAATTAAAAAGCTAATTTTTAAAACTATAGTATTATGCCAATATTAAGCCAAACAAATTTTTAATAATTTTACGTGTACCTATTTATAATTTAAACAAACCTAGACAGGTAGATTTATGTAGATAGGGAAATTTTAAAAATTAATTTAAAAATTACGAAATAATTATGGTCCACTTACTTAAAAGAGAAAATACAAATTTTCCATTCAATTAAAAGATACTCTGGCGAAGGTAGTGTTAACGATTAATGATAAATGTACAGGTATAAATAATTACGTATATACAGCGTGGTAAAAAAGTTCTGCATAAAATTCATATTTTCGTTAAACAATTTTTTTTTCGAAAAACGGTGAGCCCCGTCGATTTTTATTTGATCCAGGGCACCTTGTTATGTGAAAAAATTTTTTTTTCGATAATCCACTTACGGCAGCGATGACATAATTTTTTTTTAAATGACAACGCATATTTTTTTCGTTCGAAATTGATGACAGTGATAATTATCTAAACAACGGTGTGAAAATTTCGATGTCTTACATAACAATTTTTTTTAGAAAAATGCACCTTAAGTTCTTATAAGTGATAATTGTCTACTTACACTATTAATGGCTCCGAAAAGGACAAAGTTGACAAAATTACATTTCAAACGAGTAAAATTACACTAATGTTTGTGTAAGTCTAGCGAAATTGTTCGAATTGCCCACCCTGTACCATTTGGCATTGTCCTAAGCGTGTGTAAACGCCGTCTACACTTCGTTCAAGCATTCCCGGGTCGATTTGATTTATTTCAAAACGAATACGGTTTTTAAGTTCTTCCAAATCACCTGGTCTGTTTGTGTACACACGCGATTTCAAATAGCCCCACAAAAAAAAGTCTAGAGGTGTTAAATCAGGCGAACGCGGAGGCCACTCGATTGTTCCGCGTCGCCCGATCCACCGGCCAGTAAACGTGTTATTCAAGTACTCCCGTACTTGCACTCCATAATGGGGCGGTGCACCATCCTGCTGAAACCAAATTCTTTCCTCAGGAATATCAGGATCCTCGTTGTTCGGGAATAACTCTGCTAAGCTTGGGACCAAATCGAACCGCAGGAAATCCAAATAGCGAGCAGCAGTTAAATTTTCCTCGAAAAAATACGGGCCTAAAATACGACGCCCTATTATTCCCGCCCAAACGTTCACCTTTCGGGGGTGCTGATGATCTACTTCTTGCACCCAGTGCGGGTTTTCCTGAGACCAATACCGGCAGTTATGTCGATGCACCGATCCATTAAGATAAAAAGTAGCCTCGTCAGAAAAAATTATGTTCTTGAGGAAGTCGGGGTCTCCGTTACATCGATGCATTAAATCTTCACAAAAGTGGAGACGGCGGTCTGGGTCGTCCTCAGTCAATGCATGTATCAAGTGACCCTTATAGGGGTGAAATTTCTCTTTTTTGAGAAAGTTCACCACAGTTACATGTGAAATATCATTGTTCAATGCAATCGACCTTGTACTAGAATGAGGGTTGTCCTGGAGCTCCACCAGGATATTCAATCTAGTTTCATCATCTACTCTAGGACGACCCGCACGAGGAGCATCTTTCACACTACCAGTTTCCTCAAACCTTGCCAGTACCCTACTAACCGTAGATTGCGTAATTGGTGGTCTGTCAGGGTACGTTGCATTAAATAATTGGCAAGCTTCTTGATGGGTTCGTAACTTATCGCCGAAACCAATCATCCTCAAAATATCAATTCTTTCGCGTTCACTAAGTTTTGCCATTTCGAATTAAACGATTTCACCAAAGAATGTTAAATCGGTACTGATTTTTAGTCTTCAATATTTCAGGTAATCTACTCCTTTCAAGTAAACATTTCTTTGGATCTTTTTTTTTTGAGGAATTTATCGGCAAACTCGAAGACAAAAAGTCGACCTTAATTTGCTACATACTATTTGGATTTTGTGCGGTTGAACTTGGTTCTAAATTTTGCAGTTTAATCAGGATCCTGACAATATCTGATGAATAATTCCGCAAATATTACATAACACCAGTTGCAACTTAAGTTATCTGAAATGCTTTCTGCCGAATAAATTTTTTTCTAAGGCATTTGATCCGTAAACAGCAAATTATTGCATTCAAGAACTTAAGGTGCATTTTTCTAAAAAAAATTGTTATGTAAGACATCGAAATTTTCACACCGTTGTTTAGATAATTATCACTGTCATCAATTTCGAACGAAAAAAATATGCGTTGTCATTTAAAAAAAAATTATGTCATCGCTGCCGTAAGTGGATTATCGAAAAAAAAATTTTTCCACATAACAAGGTGCCCTGGATCAAATAAAAATCGACGGGTCTCACCGTTTTACGAAAAAAAATTGTTTAACGAAAATATGAATTTTATGCAGAACTTTTTTACCACGCTGTATACTAAAAGATATTTGATTTTTATTTACCAAGCGATATCATTACGAAACTGTCATGTGTGGATGCGCTCGATGTCTCGAAATTAATAAGATAAAAATTATAATGTGGATAAGTGTCAGAAAGTGCAGTAATAGCAAGTTGTTTTTTTCTTCTCTTTCTTTCTTCCGGTTAGTGGTGACGTTTGGGTAGCCATGGAAGTATAATATGGCTTTTTTTCAGAATACGTTCAGTTACCTCTAACAAAAAACAAAATTTCCACGTTATTGATTGTCTCCGACTCCTCATGATTATGCATCATTTAAAATTAAATTTCTAGGGGAAAAAATCATATGAACTGTTTTTACGAAAAGAGTGGTTATAGATTCTACTTCAGATTTATTGAATTACTTGATCGTCACCTACCAAAAGCAAAACTAGAAGTGAACAGAACGAAAAAAGCTGAAAAGGACGTAGTCACATCATATTATAATTTTTAGGATTATTGGATGAGTTAAAAACAAACTAAGCCTGTACAAAGTAACCTGAAATTATTGGCAATTAAAAACGAAAAGAGCAAATAGAAAACCGCAAGCGCGGATCTTTATGGCATGATAATACAAGAATTTGTCATTTTTTTTTTTTTCATTTCCTAAGTTTATTTATTTATTTATTTATTTTTTCATCTCCACGTTTGCCAACTGCTTTGACGTCATCGAATTTATGATTCCAAGTTTCATAAATATTTTTTATGAAAACCCTCTTCTCAATAACTTTTGTTAAAATATCGGTATCTCTAACCTTTCAAAAGATATAAGATGATATGTATAAAGAAAAATACTGGTTCGATCAAGTCTGTTACTGTTTTTTTCAGGTTTTTGTAGAATACAAGATACTTTCAATGTTTATATTCATTACTTACATATTTAATTATTTTTGAACAAATTTACTACATTTATTAAATATGCTCGAAAAGATTTGAAATTAATACGACTTTATAGAAACAAATGATTTATGTCAATGAATATAAACATAGAAAGTATATTTTTTCCACAACAACGCTGGTAATAGTTATTTACACCATAAAGGAGGTCAATTATATTTAACTGCTGCGTGGTGTATAAGTGATGTATAACATTTTATCTGCTCCCACATTGTTTACGGTTCATGAAATAAAGATTAGCTTTTATTTTTTGACATTTCTTAATCAATTCATTTTGACATTATTCGAAATCTTCCAAAGTCGCCTTGGTTGTTTGGATTTTGTCGTTTCTAATAGCTGTTTTACATTGACAATTTATTGATCAATTAATTCATGAAGTCGCTTCATCAAGAAATTGGACAAGTGTAATGTACCAAATCTGCTGTCAAATAACTTCATGAATTTATTCATCAAGTTCTTGACGAATTAGTGCATGTTCTAATTTTCGTCAATTTCTTCGTGAAGTTCGGAAGTACCAACCCAACAGATTTCCAGCCTCAGATCAGTAATGAGGTTATGTTATTGGAATATGTAAATAATTGTGTGGCGTCGTACTAGTTTTGCATTGTTTTTACTGATTTGTTACTTACAAAAACTAATATTTATATAATATGTGTCAGAATGGTACCGCTGTTGTATCACTACAATTATGAGTGGAAAGGTGACATTTTTGAAATTTATTTTCTTCTTTGATTCATTGGTAGAACTGATTCATACGTCAAAAAACTTGAGAGAGTCTGTAGCAGTGTAAAACCACACTGTTTACCAATAAATTCGTGAATTAATTCATGAAGAACTTTATCAATTTATTCATCAAGAAATTGTCAATGTAAAACAGCTATAAGGTGTTTATAAACAAAGCTACAGAAAAGTTGTAATTTTGCTGGTTTTGAGTTAATATTTCTAAATGAGTGATTTTCAAATAGAAAGTGCAGCAAATGCTGCCTGCAAATTTTTATTGCCCGAGAAGTCGAAAGTGCGCTACGGACGGACGAGCATACAGAAATTTCGAAGAATATTGCCAGAACAAAAACACTGCTGTTTCTGAAATGTCACTGCTAGCATATTTCATGGAGAAGTCAAGAACTTTAAAGTTTGGGAAGTGAATGAATACTCAATGATTTAGTCAACTATTTTCATAGAGGAGAACGTGGATATATCAAAATACTCCAAGCTGAGACAATTTTTGAAACGTAAGAATGACGGCTACACACCTAAAAAGTCAATCGTTTTTACAAGAGAACAAGTCAACGATTTTCTCGTTCAAGCACCCGATAACACATATTTGCTAATGAAGGTAGTGACGGTCTTAGGCATTGCAGGAGCATGTCACGTCGTTCTGATGAGTTATGCAAAATTACCTTGGACAACGTCAATTTCAAAAATTTCGATGACATTATTGTAGTTAAGTAGGTACATTTCCAGTTTCTAAAAATGGTATGTCACGTATGTTTACAATTATTTCTCATCTGGGTTCTGTTTCTCACCTAGAAATTCTCAAGAAATATATCAGGGTTAGATTGGAAATTAAAACTGAAATTTCACGCTTTTTTATGCGCTATCAAGCAGATAGATGTTACAACCAACCAGTCGGCAAGAATACCATTTCTATGATTCCTAATAAGATTTTGAAACTAGAACATCCTGAAACATATACAGGTCATTAATTCCGAAGAACATCGGCAACGTTACTGGCTAATACAGGACTTGTATTACATGGACATGTATTAGCAATCAAGAGACATGGTGGGTGGAAATCAGTCATAATTGCAGAAAGTTATGTTGCTGACAGTTTAAGTAACAAAAATGAAATAGCCAACAGGATTCTTTACAATGACACTTCAACTCCAGATTGTACTAGTTCGTCACATTATACTGTTTTAATAGAGCGGTCAAATCATTTTGAGAAAAATATGACAATTAATAAACGCCAGGGAAATAATTGTCCAGATTTTATAAATCTTACTAAATGTAATAACTATACAATTACTATAAATATTCATTCATAATAATTAATAAACTGTAATGTTCATCAAATATTTCTATTTATTTGTTCATAAAATTTATAACTCGAAATCGCTTTTTCTCTAGTAACCTCACTTACCTCCTGTTGTCCATAGCAACTTCCACTTCTACGGTAAAATCTACTTCCCTCCTTAAAAACAATGTGTTAATAGTCTCTCTACTACAGTGGGAGCAGATAAGATTGGTAACAAACTTGATCAAACTAGTGTTTTTCTCTATACATATTTCTTTATATCTTTTGAACAAGAAGAGATATCAAAAAACTATTTTAATAAAAGCTGTTGAGAAAAATGTTTTATAGAGTAACAAAATCTGTGTGAAATTGAAAAAAGTAATGCTCGATTTTGCTCTTTTCATTGTCCTTCAAAGGGGGCCAACCATTGATGATCCTGGGTTTCCCTGTACACGTTTCACTTAATTTTACTAGTTACTTCTGTTACTTACCAATTGAAGGCCGGATTATGGCCACTGGCATGTTATCCACTTCATCAGCGATTAAGGTTTCCGCAAGTCTTTTGCTGTAAGTGTATGTGTTGGGATGCGGTGATATAACTCCTGGTGTAGCGATCTTCAAAGTTTCCAAATTCAACCATTCAGCAACCTTGATCACATCTCTAGGTTTCTCTTTGCTAGGGTATACCTAAAAGCCACAGTACCCAGATAACATGATGTTTTATTTGACTCTTAAATTGGCCAATCCTATTATTTATCAGGCTAGATTTTTGAAAAACACTCTTACCCTCACCTAAAGTAACCCATTCTGGATCGTATACAAAATTTATTTCAACACTATCAAATTAAGAATTAAAAGCTGAAATTTCAGGCAACTGTATTCTACAAGTTGTTAATGAAATAAGTACTCAAAATTGGAGATATGATGAAAAGCTTAGTAGAGTTTTTGTCAGTGGCGGCCCCTAAGAGAGATACAGCGCCTTGAAGGGGTAACACAAGAAACAGTTTTTATTGCATAACTTCAAAACGATTTAATATTAAATCGCGAAATTTTGGGGTAAGTAATTTTCTCATGGCACAATTTGATATACAGGGTGATTCATTAACAATGGGAAAGTCGAAAGCTGAAGATACTATACGTGAAATGGTGACCATTGGCGCAAACATGCCTTATCCGAAAGTTTATAGTTTCGGAAATGCAGGGTGTTGAAAGTTAAAATTTTAAATCGTTTTTTTGCGATTATTCTGAAAATATGTAGGTTAGGAACTTGAAAGTTTGTGAAACTATATTGTTTTAGGCGACGAATAAGATGCGTATTGTAATTTCAGCATTACTCATAGAGGGCGCCACTTACAACCAATTTTACCGAGAATTTAGTTAATAACTTTTTACTCTGTGTGTCTAACATGAAACTTGATTCAAAATCTAAAAGAGCAATCATTTTTCCATTAATTGTGTATTCTTGTTTCATTTCGGTATCTCGATCCGTTTTCGAGAAAAATCGATTTAACGAACACTATGTTTTGATAATACGAGAAATTAAAAGCGAAACAAACCAAGTGTCTCTTCGTGTTATTACAACAATTAACAATAAAACCAATGAAATTCGTAATAATGATTTAAAGTCAGTGTTCAAAGAATCCACCGTTAACATTTTCACACATTACACAACGTTTTCTGAGAGATATTCGAGTTTGAAACAACATATTGGAATTGCGTTTGACTTCGTTGGCAGCGATTTGTATTCTTTGCCACAACTCTTCAAACTAACCAATAATTTCTTCCAAATAGAAAAATGAAGAGAATTGAAGTCCGGACTTCTGGGTGGCCAAGTGAAAATGCTTCCACGGCTTGTAGAAGTTCTACTTTATTTAAGAAGAGACATGTGGTTCATGCACGACGGAGCTGCACCGCATTTTTCTTGGCCAGTGCGTGCATATTTAGATGCAGTTTTTTCAAATCGCTGGATTGGCCATGTAAGCATTTTTGCTTGGCCATCCAGAAGTCCGGACTTCAATCCTTTTGATTTTTATATTTGGTCTCGAATGAAAGATATAGTTTATAAAGAATCTACTGGCTCGTGTGAAGAGTTGTGGCAAAGAATACAAATCGCTGCCAACGAAGTCACACGCAATCCCAATATGTTGTTTCAATCTCGAAGATCTCTCAGAAAATGTGTAAAGTGTATCAGTGTCAACGGTGGATTCTTCGAACAATTACTTTAAGTCATAATTACGTATTTTATTTGTTTTATTGTTAATTGTTGTAATAATACGAAGAAACACTTGGTTTGTTTCGCTTTTAATTTCTCATATTATCAAATCATAGTGTTCGTTAAATCGATTTTTCTCGAAAACGGATCGAGATACCGAAATGAAACAAAAGTACATAATTATTGGAAAAATGATAGCTCTTTCAGGTTTTGAATCAAGTTTCATGTTAAATATAGAGGGTAAAAAGTTATTAACTAAATTTTCGGTAAAATTGGTCGTAAGTGGCGTCCTCTATTAGCAATGCTTTAATTACAACACGCATCTTATTCGTCGCCTAAAAAAATATGGTTTTACAAATTTTCAAATTCCTAACCAACATATTTTCAGAATAATCGCAAAAAAACGATTTAAAATTTTAACTTTCAACACCCTGTATTTCCGAAACTATCAACTTTCGGATAAAGCATGTTTGCGCCAATGGTCACCATTTCACGTGTAGTATCTTCAGCTTTCGACATTCCCATTGTTGATGAATCACCCTGTATTTATTTTACAGTAGGATTTTTTTAGCAAATAATGAATTATTGAAACGGATTTTACTAGAAAACGGCTCATGCTATTAAAATCTAACAAGAGTACCTTTTTCATGCAAAATATGATAGATTTTCATATTTTCGGTTCAGGAAGTAAAAAAAATTGCGTACAAAAAAAATTGTAAAATTTGCCCCATGGTACCGCATTTTCTTAAGACCCTGTAGCAAATTTGGATTTGTATATTATACCGATTATTAAGCATATAAATAGTAATACAACCCCAAAATTTCGCAATTTAATATTAAACCGTTTTGAAGTTATGAAATAAAAACTGTTTCCTAAGTTACCCCTACAAGGGGCTGTGTCTCCCTTAGGGGCCGCCACTGACAAAAACTCTACTAAGGTTTTCATCATATTTCAACATGTTTCACATACTCTTCAATTTTGAGTACCTACTTATTTCGTTAACACCCCGTATATTACAAAATCTGATGGTCGTCTCTTATACTTATTTAAAAATTACTAGCTTTGTCAAAAACTTTATATGATTGCTTCATACTAGCAAATACGACATTTGAGTGCAGTAGTGTAGTTTTTGTGCTAAATTGAATTGTTGTATTTGCATTTATCACGTTTCGACTGAAGTATAACAAAAAGTTCATTTGTAATTTGAATAAAACGATTATTATGGGAAATATGTCTCAAAAACTAAAAACGAAAACCGTTTTTTTTTTTTAGTTTTCCTCAATTCCTTAGGCAAAATTACTTCATATTAGTGTTTTAAGTAACTCAATTGTAAATTCTCGGCATCGACAAAAATACACCATTCATATTTAACTGACCTTAAATTTTCATTATAACTTCTTGTCCGTAATAATACCTATTTATTTATTAGGATTGTAACGATCTTTACACTTTGTTTTTTTAATATGTATTAAAGGTCAATTAGAGTAAAAAAAACTTGAGCTTCAATTATTTTACATATCTATGTAGACACATTACATTTTTCTTTTTTTTTCAATAATTAAAACTTTATGATAATTACAGTAAAATAATTGTACTACAGTAGTAAATAATATTTATTCTCTTGCTTGTATTTACAGTAATCATATATTATGTAGCAATTTCAGAAAGAGAAACATTAATTTTTGCCACACTAATGTATTTGGCAAATAATAAATAATAGTGTCTACGCATTATTCTTTTATTATAAGGTGTAAACAGACCAATGACCCATGACCTCTAGCCAATAATGAATTTACAATTTCCATATTTTTCCTTTAAATATTTTTATTATATGTATTTTAAACATATTAGCAACAAGTACAAAAAATTTTTCAGAAATGTTGCTATATCTTAAAAACTAACAATTTTAGGTGTTGAACATTCTTAATAAAAGTTGAAGTGGACCGATATGTGAATAAAATAATAAATACAGGGTGTTCCATTTGAAAAATTTTAGAAAATCAAGTTTGAACTTTCTGGAAATTATCGTATTATAAAAAATGACCTGTATAAAATATCCATATTAGCTAATATACCCTTGTCTAACATTTGTCTATAACTCTGTCCAATATTTTTGCTCCAAGTGTTAGTAGTTGAAAGTTAATGCAACTTCTTCGAGGTCATGTTTTTTCCAAAATTCGAAGAATTTTCCACATAACTTGACAACCCCGCACTAAAATGTTAAACTGTTTATTTTGCCATATATAGAAATTTCTCAGAAACCCATATGTTTCAAAATATATAGGGTGTACCATTTAAAAAATGTAATATTTGGCGTGTTTCGTTTTTACTCAACGCCCTGTATGTTTCAAATTAATTTTGTAGTTTAAGTTTCTTGATTCTCTACTACTTTTATATAAACTTTTTATCTGTATTTTGAGTAACAAGGAAGTTATTGTACTTTCTCACACTAATGACCCACCCCGTATATGTATACAATAATTTTCAAAATATTCAGTACTTATGTAATTTAGTACCAAGCATGAGAAATCGATTTATAACTCAAAATATTACCTTCTGAAACAAATGTGATGGATGGAAATGGAAATATGATGGAACACTTTGATGGATAAAAAAATAGTAACTGGAAACTTACCCGTTCTTCAAATACATCAAGATCGGCAGAGCAAAATGCGGTGCTGAAGTGGAGGAAGGCTTTAAGATTTTTAATCTTTTTGCATATGTCTATCACCCTCGCAGTACCGTTAGTATTAAAATTTATGGCGTCCTTCAAATTGGCTTCTAGTTTTAGGGTGGCTCCTAAATGGAATACCACGGAAACATCATTTAGTAGCAAATCAATATCTTTTGCTGTTAAACCTAATCCATCGGTACTTAAGTCTCCGTTTAAGGGTACAATTTTTTTTATTGCATCAGGTTGGCTCTCACGCAAACGGCTGAAGCACTAAAAAAAACATTTAAATTAATTTTATGATTATAGAAAGTTTTTATTTTTTATTTGCAAATTTGCAAATTAATTTACGGCTTATTCCTAAAGCTCTTGAAAATGTTAGTGTTTTCTTTATTAAAAATAATTCAATAAATATACAGTGTGTATCAGCCAAATGGAATAAATTAACTAACTAATAAATAAATGGGGGCGTCTTCGAAAAAACTCTTTTTTTCATTTTCTTCAACAAAAACTTTTTATTCAGGGTGTGTCATGTAACAGGGGTCAATACCATCTTTTTTATTTTAAATGCAACACCCTGTATATTATACAACTTTTGGATTCACCAGAAAATTATAGACATATTTCATGTACAATGTCCTATCTTCAACTGTTTCGGAAATATTAAGTGTTTTCAGATTTGTTGCAAAAATTAACATTAAAAAGAGAAAATTATTTGTTTACAGAAATTCGCTACAACACACTCAAAAACTAATAAATAATACTATTTATTTATTGATAATGTAAAAAAAGCAAAATAACATTAATGTCAATGTAGAAGATGTCTTGGCAACATCCTAATCTTAAATAGAAATTTCTTCTAACGCTACTCAACATCTCTCAACATACAGATAGATCTATTGACCTCTATCTATACCACAGCAATAGTCTAAGATTTTTTAACAAATGCAAAAAAATATAGGATATTTCATTCAGTGCCAAAATAATGCTAAAAATCTCAAATCTAAAAAATTACACTTTCTTCATATTCTCTTCATAAATCTTAAAAACTGAGGCACATGTTGTTTGACTCGAAATGTCATCGAAAGGATCTGTAACATGCATTCTTTTTCAAACTCTATATGTTAAGAATATTCTGGTGATTAATTATTCTCTAATTCAAAACCAACAAAGTATTTTTTCATTCGATGAAGTTCTGGTGACTCTAATTAATCTCTATTTCAAAATTAACAAAATATTTTCGTCGAAAGACGCTTGGCCTAATTTTCTATATGAATATTAATAAACACATTACATAATACGATATTGGTCCCTATTTATCAATGACTGGAATACTTAATGGTTAGCTATTACTTTACTTTTTCGGTATTAAATTGTATTTAATTGCCAGCAAATGTTTTTGTTCATAATTCTCATTAACATGAACTGCTGTTTATTATAGGGCATCATTTCGATCATTAAGTGACGTTATTTATTCTATTGATCTACATGTATTCGCAATAACTTTATTACTACAATTATATAAAATGTGTTTTTTTCAATTACACTTAAATGTTTAATATTTCATGCCTCTTATCATTTCGCATCTTAAAAACAAATTTATGGAAATCATGTTATAGTTTAAATTACCTTTGGTCGAACGTGCATACATCAAAATATATATATTTCCATTACTAAAACTGGTATTAATCAAACTGAAGATTAATATGTACATATTTCTGTTGGGAAAAATTTGGTAACCGTTACAAAACAATAAATTTTAAAATTATATATTTTTTACTATTAACATTAAGAAAGCAATATTTAGAATGCGGAACTAGGTCGTGGTTTAATGCATATGATCTAAATGATACTCTTTGTTAAAGGCAATGCCAGAACAAGAATAGCGGATTCAAAGTTTCATTATTTAATTTAAAAAAATAAATAGTCGGTCACAATTAAGTAGTTCCAGAATGTTACAGACAGCAAGATAATTTTAATAAGTATATGACTTAATTTCATAAAATTTTTAAGAATATTTTTAGAATTTATTGATTTAGGTATTATTATTTAACATTATCAGTTTGTTTAATTAAAAATCGTTAATGATTTCAATTTACTCAAAACTACATGTATTATGTATTAGTTTATTAGTTATTTTGCATCATTTTAATACAATTATACGTGAAACTTCTCATTATATTAGGAATTTAGGACTGTAATTTGAATCATGTAGGTACCTATGTATCCATTTTAAATTGCATCTTTTTTTTTATTCATTTTTTTCTTTTCTCTGAAACTTATTCTACTTGCTGTTAGGCAATGTTAGGTATATTTACATTTTCCTGGGAGATGGATAAGTCGAGGGAATGATGCAGCCGTGATGCCTGCGCGATCACCGGACCACACACTCTTGGACTAAGTAAATTTTCGATTTTCAATATCTATATCTTTTTTAATACATATTTATTACATAAAATGATTACCTATTATATCATTTTTCCCACTCTGAAAAAATCTCTCGCTAGAAAATTTAAAATATGTCATACTAGAAATTATTATTTAACTTATTTCCACCTAAGGTGACTCTGGCCTCATTTGTGCCCCCTAATTTAAATACACCCTATATATCAAGCTTGTAATTTTTACTTCAACTTGTTTAGATGTTTCAAAAGATCAATTGCTAACAAAGCTGCTATATCTTTGTAAGGAATCGGAATTGACTTCTGATCCTTTTTTTTGTTAATTTTGAACAAAGATTACCCTGTACAACCTGGTAGTCGAATTTATGGGATACCTTGTTTTACTATACGACTGAACCTCAAAAGCTTATTTGATTGCATCTGTCACGTAAGAACCAGACATTGGGAATGAAATAACCTTTACCCAAACCAAAAGTCCCGACATTTTTTTTGTTAATATAGAGTGGCCGTCCAGGGTTGGTTCACCATTGGCATAAGGGAAACCGTAAGATATACAGGGTAGCTCAAATTAAAAAAAAAAGTTGCGCCTTTTCAGGATCATTAAAATAAACCAAACAAACCAACGATATCTGCTGTCGTTCCTGAAATATTGTGAAAAAACTGAAAATGGTGATTTTAGAAAATGCCATCTAGCATCCTTACCTATTTCACAACAGAAAGAGCTGAAATTTGGTAATGGAGATAAGAAGATACAAGAAATCCATTTTTGTCGAAAGAAAATTTCTACGGCCACTAGTTTCAGTTATGCAACTTTCAATTGTTTTTTTCCTTATGGGCGCCATATTGGATCTTGGCAGTAACAGATAGAGGATAAAATTACGATCACGTCAATAAACAACACTACTATTTTATTTGAAAAATAATCCATAAAACTAAGGAAATTCAATAATTTATTTAAAAAATTAATAAAATCTAGCTGTTCTTGACGTAAAACAAAAATCAACAAACATTTTGACAGATTCGAAATTTGCTAGCGCTTGCAGCCTTGTGTACATTATTTTAATACTTATTTTAATTAAAATTATGGTAAAGTTTCAATTACAGGGAATAGGAAGATGTATGAATTATACATAAAAAATAATAAAAACTCTGTAGATACTGTTAGAAGATATCATCAATTATATCCAGAAAGACACCAGCCTCATCGAACGGTATTTTTAAAAGTGTATAACAATATGGTAGAATTTGGAATTGTGGAGAAAGCAGATATACATGCTTACTATTTATTTGTTTTTAGAGATTATTGTTTCCAAACTGCATAATTAAATGTAGGTATCAAGTAAGACGGAAACCCGTTAATGAAATAAATGTCTTGGGACAAGTTAACAAAAATCTTGAGAGTTCTACGAGGGTGATCGCAAGAGAATCACGGACAACCGTTAAAAGAATTTAAAAAAATATAAGTACCATGATTATAAATTCAAACCAGTACAAGGACTACATCCAGGAGATCGAGACCGAAGAATGGAATTTTGTAGGTGGTTCAAGGAAAGATAACAGAAGACAAATTGTTCGGTAGGAAAATTATTTGGAGCGATGAAACTACGTCCACAAATAACGTCATTTTTAATAGAAAAAATTATTATGCCATAGAAAATCCAAATTTGGTTCAATAGATTTTCCCTTAACATTTTTGTTGTGTAATATTAAATGACCGTATAATAGGGCCATTTCTTATTGATGGTAACCCTACTTCTCTGAAGATATTTTAAGAATAGCAATGGAGGATGCATTGGATAATCTTCCCTTACATTACATTGGAAATTTAGAAATGTTTCAGCAAGATGGCGCAGGTCTCCATAATTCTGCAATGGTATCCCAATATTTAAATTGACGCTTTTCAAATAACTGGATTGGCACTCATAGACCTGTAGCTTGTAGAATATTTGTGTATTTTGTTTTATTGAGTATTGATTTTTGTTTTACGTCAAGAACAACTAGATTTTATTAATATTTTCAATAAACTATTGAATTTCTTTAATTTTATGGGTTATTTTTCAAATAAAATAGTAATGTTACACATTAACATGTGCATAATTTTATCCTCTATCTGTTACTGTCAAGATCCAACATAGCGCCAATAAGAAAAAAAAACAATTGAATGTTGCATAACTGAAACTAGTGTCCGTAGAAATTTTCTTTCTACGAAAATGGGTTTCTTGTATCTTCTTATCCCCCAGCACCAAATTTCAGCTCTTTCTGTCGTGAAATAAGGACGCTAGATGGCATTCTCTAAAATCGCTATTTTCAGTTTTTTCACAATATTTCAGGAACGGCTTCAGATATCTTTGATCTGTTTGGTTTATTTTAATGGCCCTGATAAGGCGCAACTTTTTTCTAATTTGTGTCACCACAGTATACAAAAAAGAACTCTGGGTAACGCTTAACCATCGCTCTGTATAAAATGCAACAGAAATCTTACATAAACATACTTACAGGCAAATTCCACATAATCTCTAATCTTTGCTGCGGAGTCTTTCCTCTTTTATTTCTCAATAAAATGTATACGGTTTTTATTCCTGTACAAGAATATAACAGCTTCTCTACCAATACTTTTCCCATAAAACCGGAAGCACCAGTAATGAAGACACATCGGCCATCATACCATTTAGCTATGGGACTCTCAACTCCTGGCATGATGATTAAACTTATCAATTCTGAAGTAATAAGGGTTGTATGTACATTAACGATTCATATTTAATTAATGCAATAGATGGAAATCAATAATTAAAAAATAAATAATTGTTGTTAACTTCCATTAACGTCTAATAATTATTTTTCTACTACTAATTTTTTTTTAATATATGTATTTGAAAATTGCATTATTCACCTTATGTTTGGATAATCTTTATCCTTTTTTGTAGCTGCCTACTTCCAAATAGATCTAAACAATTTTTTTAAGAACTCAGTAACTTAGGTAATGAAATCATTATTAAAGTTATCAGAGGCACAAAAATTTGTAACTCTCTTTTCTATCACAAGTACTTACTATTCATAGTAAATCGAATTTAACAGGAAAATCTAGTATACTTTGAATCAAGGTCATGAACTTCGTTTCCCCCATTAAAAATACACTTTTTAGCTTCATAAATAATTGTAAACTAATAACAGTTCTGAAGTAATAAACACTATTATTATTATTATTATTATTAACGTATAGTAAATAATTAGGTGAATAATTAAAACCATTCAATTATAGTTATCGAGACATATAATACCTACTTATATTTTGAAATATTTTCTTTTATTAATTCACTATGTTATACACTAAACCAAACAATTAAAGGGTCAAAAGAATTTCCGAAATTGTTCCGTGATTTTTAACAGACTGTATTTAAGTGAAAAATGGTCGTATCGAGAATTAAAAAAGCATTTTGAAGCTCTAAGATTCTAGTTTTTAGTTCTTTCAGTCGAAAATATTTAGGAGTTACGGTTATCATGCAATTCTAAGAAATAGCGCGACAAAAATTTTGCAAATTTTGATATTTTTTTTCCGAGTTCACGGACTTGGAAAAAAAAATTTTTTCAGCTCAGCCATTGCATGGACCAGATAGCTTGTTTATTCAGCTTTAATTTCTTTTTTTTTAATTTCGATAAGACCATTATTCATCGAAATATCGGACTTTTAATGGAAAGGGATCCTTTTGTCTTCAATAATCGATATCTCGGCGACAAATGGTCGTACAGAGAACTGAAGAGCAGTTTTGAAAACTGTAATAAATGTCCTATAACATGCTGCAGCAACTTTTCGGAATTTTTTTTTTCGTCTTTTACACGAATTTAAAAAAACAGGAAAAAAAGGGTAATTTATGTTTTTTTTAGAAAATTGACGGCTAAATTAGAAATATTCACGAAATGACTAATGTTAAGCATGACGTTTACAGTTCGATATGCCCAGAAGAATCCTGTGAAGTTTCATCTCGATCTAGCGAACCGTTTGTTTGTTTCAAACAGTCAAACTTTTCAAAAAAATTAACGGGTCACGTTTTTTGAGCTTAAACAGTTCATAATCATGATTAAAATGGAAAAAAAAATGTTTGAAGTTTTCTCACATTTTTATCGCAAATAACTTTTACATTGATTAAAAAAATATATTTTTCGAAAAATTTTCAAAAAAATTTCGTATTTTTATTTTTTTTTTGAAAACCTTCCGGACATTGAAGAAGACAAAATCCAATTGTTTCCAGCACGATTCGGCTTTTCTGTCATATGCTTCTGTTCATCAGCTTTTAATTAAATTAAAATTAAAATTAAAGTTGACCCAAACCAGATTTCGATCCAGATTCATATCGTTCTTTGAGACTTTGTAATTAATTTTTGTGCGGTCTGTAATCTCTTAAAAAACAGTTTTTTTTTCAAAACTACCCTTTTTCTTCTGAAAAAAATTTCTAAAATTCTTTTGACCCTTTAATTGTTTGGTTTAGTGTATGTATAATAAATCATTTTGTAAATATTATTTTAAAGTTCTATTAAAATACAGGTGTGCATCAAAATTAGGCTACACAGGAGATTATGCGCAACAAAATGCTGTCAACCACATCACTAAGTACCTCCATTATCGCGTAATTTAAAAAGTTTGGTTATTTTCTGAACGAAGCTAGTATTTACAAGATACTGAATATTTTTAAATACAAAATCCATCGAAAAAGTTGAATCAAAAAATGGTTTTGTGCTACCGCTCTAGAAAATGTCAGTTTCCGATCAGTTTTTATATCGGAAAACGTGTGATTACTGATCCAGATCAGAAAGGAGGGCGAGCTCAGTAAAATGACATAAGTGAAGTAACTTTACCAAACACTTACGTCAAAACTTACATTAAAAACCAGATATGTATCACAATTATCTGTCAGCAGAAGTTTTTGACGTTTTGACGTTTATATTTTTACAAATCTTTAGCTCGTTTAAAGACGAAAAGCGATAAAAGTGACGGAGAAAAGATTCCATTCGATATTACAGAATTGGTTGACCTGTTATAATTGGTGGATTTGGAAATTGATTAGTTCCACTAATATTAGGTGCTCCAGATATAGCATTTCCACGAATAAATAACATAAGATTTTGATAGTGATGAACCAATGAAATCCAGGAAAAGGTACGAAAAAGCATAGTAATTTTTCGAAGAATGGCGCAAAATGAAAAGCTTAGCTTATTTTGCTGAAAAATCAAACACAGTTTTCTAAACTTTTATAAAACATTATTAATTTCATTAAATAAATAGTCAAAAGTTAAATTATTCGAAAATTTTCCATTGTTTCAACCGACCTTGTTTGTGTAGTGCTAGAGTCATTTGTTGTTTACAAAACAACTTTTATTTTTTAAATGTACATTGAAAAATTACGAAGGATTATTTTATGTTGTATTTATTACCTTAATAAAAATAAAATAACACGAGTTTTGAAATACGCTCTTGAAACTATAGAATTTGAAATATAATCAAATACCTACTTATTTCCTATAATATTCCGTGAAATGTTGTCAATTTCTGAAACCTTCCACGTCATCCGGCATATTTTGTAATCTTTTGATAGAATCAAAATTGATCGACATATTTGTAAACCAGTTTAAATTTTTGCTTCTAATTAGATGCATTGTATATATTTTGTAAATTTCAACATCGTGTATCTCGAAAATCAGTGCTTTTAACCTAATTGTAAGTGTTCCGAAAATGAATGTAAAATTTTAATGGATGATTGTATCAATGTTACAAGTTCTTATGACATGATGTTCTCAAAAACTCTTATTACAGAGTTACATAAACCTACAATTACTTTTTAAAGTTAAGAGATTTTTCAAAATTGACAATTTATTATTGGTAACAAACTACATCTACGAAAAAATTATACAGGGTGATTCACAAAATGGTGACCAATAATGAAACCTTGTATTCTTTGGTGAATTTTAAGGGGAGTTTTTCCTATAAAGTTTTTATCCAGGACGCTTCGTTAAAAAAGTACAGGGCGTTAAACTAAGAATTATTTTTAATTTTAAATAATTTAAAAACTAGTAAATGAAATAATTTGAAATTGGGCACATGTATTTATATAAACATTGTCCAAAATCTGAGGACTTTTCCTAATATTTGCATGCTCCAGTGGCGGAGATACAGGGCATCGGTGGCATATTTTTCTAAATAAAATACTACGCCACTGCTTTACGGTAACAATCATGATATTTATGATTCGTCTTTCAATTTTCTGCAAATTACTATTCTCTTATGTTTTTCGAAAAAAAAACTGATTTTCGAGTAAAACTTAAACAACCAACTGAAAACACTTTTACTTAAATGACATGACGAGCACTAATCATTCGTATTTATTCGAATAAAGAAATTAATAACATTAGTCATCATTTTAATGATTTTACTTGAGAAAATGCTCAAAAATACCTCCTCCCGAACACAGGCGCGACATCTTTTTATAACGAAAATGTAATTTGTTCGAAATTTATTGTTAAGAACATTATTTGTTCTTTCTTCTAACTGTTCAAGTGTATTAATTTCTTCACTGTATACCAGCCGTTTAACAGCACTCCTCAAAAATAAATCCAGTAGGTTGAAAGAGAATTCGAAAATATCATGGTTGTTACCGTAAAGCAGTGGCGTACAATTTTATTTAGAAAAATATGTCACCGGAGCATGTAACTTTTAGGAAAAGCCCTCAGATTTTGGACAATGTTTACATAAATACATGTGGTCAATTTCAAATTATTTCACTTACTAGTTTTTAAATTATTTAAAAAATTAAAAATATTTTTTGAAGTTCAACACCCTGTATCTTTTTAGCGGAGCGTCCTAGATAAAAACTTTATAGGAAAGACCCCTTAAAATTCACCAAAGAATACGAGGTTTCATTTTTGGTCACCATTTGTGAATCACCCTGTATGGAAAATGCGAACAAAACCTTAAATCACTTAAATTAAAAAATTGATGTTCATTTATAATTTGCAATTTTTCAAAAAATCTATCATCTTAGAATTAAAGATCATTAAAGATATCATCATCATAAAAAGACACTGGTTTCCAAGTTGATAACGTTAACCGTTTTCGAGAAAAAAAAGAATTTATTGTTCTGGAGAAACACCAAAAAACAGTTAATTCAAATTTTAAAATATTTGAACATAAAAAAAATTAATATACCTGTAAGTATTAAAATCTACCAAATCGTCTATAATTGAACCGTCAAATTTATAAAAATTATAGAATTTAAAAATAATGGTAACAAATTATCGGGATTTGTAACAATCTTTAAGATTTTTAAATGGTCCTCATTATTAAATGGTTTTAATTTTTTGAAAAACTGCATATAAAAAAAATTACTATCAATTTTTCAGCCAATAAAGCTCATTTAAACCCCCTTAGGGCTTCAGTATTTTTTTCATAGTATAGTAGTTTATAACTGATAATAAAGGTATCGAATTTAAAAATAAAATTTTTAACTGAAAATGAGAGAGTTATAGAAAGTACCATTAGTTTTATAAGTAGAATAACCCCTAACCTTATTTTTGCACAATATAAGCTTAGTTAAAAACATTAAATGTAATGATTTTCATTACTGAGTCAATTGAAGGGGCAAGTGGATGAATGTGTTATGTTACAATTAGCTTATATCTCGGCTATTCCCACAAAATCAATTTTAAGTAATTTAATTTTAAGTAAATTTTGTCACATGATACGTTCATCCACTCTAGAGATCCATGACAAAGTGTCAGTATACTTATGAAAGTCTGTAATATGATACAATGATACAAAACATGTTCGTCAACTGAATATCTCAACTTTTCGGAAATTGTAACATAACACCATTCATCCACTTGCCCCTTCAATTATTTTAGATAATGTAAATAAAAATACACTTTTTAAAATATTTGAATTACATATAAAAATGCAGCAACATTTAACTAAATAATTTTTTGTACTGTGTCGCGCTTTCAAAATATAATAAGATAAACAAAATAAGTAAAAAGTTTTTGTTGTTTATAATATCAAAATCTAAATAAATG